GGGGAAGGAAGGTGGAGTGGTGGACATGGGTGCATCTTAAGTGTCCTTAAATGACCAGTTGGGGAACTTGGCCTCTTTCTTGAAGGCACTAGAGAGCCATGGAAGGATTTTGAGTAGGAGAGGGCTGTGGTCAGGTTTGGGCTTTAGTTGCTGTGTGGAGGTAGACCAGAGGGGGAGACTGAGGCTGGGTGCACAGGGGAGGCTGGTGCAGGAACAGAACAGGAGATGATGGGGCTGGGCAGGGCCGAGGGAAGGGAAGAAGGACAGTGGAGGTCATGCTCAGGAGGCCAAGTGGACAGGCCCTGTGTAGGCCTTACAGTCTTGGGAGAAAGAAGGCCGGGGAAAGGCACATGGATGGTTGGCTGCCCCTGAGATAGGGACCTGGGAGGAACAAACAGGTCTGAGGGGAGACACTGAGGCTTGTTTGGAACACGGTGGGTGTGAGGGGCTAAAGGGACATCCAGAGGAATGCGTCAGAAGGTCTCAGGGTGTGGTTGATGCTGGAGACAGGTGGGGGAACCAAGGCCACAAGGGTAGGTGTGGAAGCCCTGGGTTGGAGGACGAGAGAACACCAGCCTTGAGAAGTCAGCTTTTTTAAAATGTTATTTTATTTTAATATGTTATGTTAATCACCATGCATTACATCATTGGTTTTTGATGTAGTGTTCCATAATTCATTGTTGAGAAGTCAGCTTTAGGGTATTTATATATCTATACAGTAAGGACACACTTGTGATGAGCACTGGGTGTTATATGGAAGTAATGAATCACTAAACTTACTCCTGAAACTAATATTAACTATATGTTAACTGACTCAAATTTAAATAAAAATTTAAATAAAAACATGAAACATTAAAAAAATAATAAGGAAAGATTTGGGCTGCAAGTAACAAGATCCTGAGTGGTGCTGGCTGAAACAATATGATTGTATATTGCCCATCACCCAAGTTGGGGAGAGTTCTGGGCAAGAGAATCCACAGCTCCAGGGTCTTGTGGCCTGAGGTCCCCAATCTCTTTATTCTGCCACCTTCAGCTGAAGGCTTGGCTCCACATGGGCTCCCTCATGGCCCCAAAGTGACTGCCACAGGACCAGGCATCACAACCAGACATGATCGTTTTTAGTGCAAGAAGGAGGGGGGCATCTCTTCCCATATTGTCTCTTTGGAAGCAAAGAAATCTTTCCCCTTCCTTCCTCCTCCATCTCATTGGCCAAAATTGGCTCACATGTCCATCCTGAACCAATCCTTGGCCAGAGTGATGGAGCCATCATGATTAACTTGGATTCCTCAGAATTCCCCCTGCCAGCTGAGACTGAGATTTTGGTTTGGAGGCTGGTGAATGTGTGAACAAAACTGGACTTCTATTAGAAAGGCAGGAGAGGGAGAATGGACAGACATTGATTAGCTAAGCAGTTAGGGTCATCATGTAGTTGTGCAGGTCAGGAACTACATAGGGGATGTCTGGCTGGCAGGGTGGAAACAAACAAGGGTTGAAGTTCAAGGCTGAAAATGACCCAAAGGGGCTTCTTTTTCTAGTTAACATAAAGGCTCCATGTGGCAAGCAGTGACCTTTCAACCAGTGTCCTCATACCAGAGAGAAGAGCTTACAAAGGAGACAGAAAAGGAGTTCCAAAGAGGAGTAGGAAAACCAAGAGGGTAGGGAGAATCGGTAAGAGATGAGAGAATTTCAAGGAGAATTCACCATTGTCAAATCGTGCCAAAAAGTCACACAACATTGTTTTAATAACAGTGATAAGAAAACACTTACATAGGATTTACTATGTGCCAGGCACTGTTCCAAGCTCTCGATATGTAACTTATTTAACCTTCTCAGCAACTCTATTAAGTACATTTTCTATAGTTTACAGTTGAGGAAAGGCCCAGAGAGGTTAAATAACTTGCCGAAGGTCACAGAGGAGGTGCAGAACTGAGATCTGAGATCTGAGCAAAGTTTTGTTTGGTCACCTTGTCCCACAGAAGCTCAGAAACTGCTGTCTAGCTCTTTGTTAGCCTCCCAGCCTTCCTGGCTCCTCATGGCCGACCTCGCTGCTCAAGTCAGGAGCTGGCTGGGGGAGACGGTCGCTTCTCACCTTGTAGGAGGTATCTATGTAATCTGGCTTCTGCTCCTCACTGCTTCTTCCAGATTCTTCTGGAAAAATAAACCAAATCCTGTTTAATTCAAGACATGGGAGGGGGGGGGAAGTGAAGGCTAAAAATTCAAAAGGTACAGAAGAGTGTACAGTGGAAAGTCAGTCTTTCTCCAGCACTCAGGCTGTGTTGACTGATTTCTCAGGTCTTCTGGGCAACTATCAGCAATATGTGTGTGCATATTTGTGTCATTTATTTTTTTCCTTCACTCTACTCGAGTGCTATCAAGTATGGCAAGGCGGTTACAATCACAGACTCTAGAGGCCAAGTCCCTGGGTATAAGTCTGAACTCTGTCACTCCCAAGCTCTGTGGCTTTGGGCAGTGACTTCACCTGCCTGTGCCTGAGTTTGCTAATCTGTAAAATGGGATGATAACAGCACCTACCTCATGGACTTGTTCGAGAATTTAGCAACTTAATATCTGTAAAACTCTTAGAGCAATGTCTGGTACTCAATAAATTGTTGACTGATGATTATTATCCTCATTTCTATACCTTGCTTTTTAATATTATATAAGATATATGTAGATATACAACTTTTTAAAAATATTTTTTTATTCATTTGAGGGAGAGAGAGTGCGGGAGCATGAGCTGGGGGAGGGTCAGAGGGAGAGGGAGAAGCAGACTCCCAGCTGAGCAGGGAGCCCATGTCCCAGGACCCCGGGATCATGACCTTAACCGACTGAGCTACCCAGGCGCCCCTAGATATACAATTTTTATATACTTTTTCTAGTACTATTCTCATTTCTGCACCTTGCTTTTATCACCACCCAGTATAATTAGGAGATCATTCCAGAGACTCACAAGTAGGTCTCATATCCTTTTTATGTCTGCCATGCCTCTTCTGGGACACACATCCCATAAATTATTTCAGCGTCTCACTAATGGGCACGTGGGTGGTTGCCAATCTTTTGCTGGTGTAAATGCTGCTGCAGGGTGCGCCTTGAACATCAAGATCTAACCGAGGAACCCCCCTGCCTCCCCGCTCCCTGTAGGCTGAATTCCTGGGGGGGGGTGCCATGAGGACACCGAAGTCTCTCTGACTCTGTTCTTGAGTCTAGAAGGGCTCAGGTACATAGCCGGTGAGTTTCTTCCCTCAGATGAAGTCACTCCTCCATGGCCTGTGGGGCTGGACCGGGCTTGGGGAGGGGCGGGGGGCATAGACTTCCATCAACTCATTTACATAGAATATCTACTCTGTGCTGTGTTGGACAGAGTTGGGAACAGTGATGGAGAAAGCTCTAGGCCTTGCCCTCATGGAGCCTGTGATTCAGTGGGAAGCAGTCACAGTCAAGTGTGTTCAGGGGAGGGATGGGACTGGTCATATCTTACAGACAAGACCCCAGGTAAGGAAAGTGGTCAGCCAGTGACGAAGTAGGGAGTAGTGTTCCAAAGGGTGTTACTACATGGACACAGTCTGGAGGAGAGAGAGAACAAGCCTGATCAAGGATATTCAAGTCCCTCCGCGAGACTGGGCTGTAGACTACACAGGTCTGTAGGGAGAAAGGAGATGAGCTGGATAGGAATGACACCAGGATGAGATTAGGCAGGACTCTGGGAACCAGCTGGCTATTTCCCTGAGGTCCTGGGGGCTACACAGAGGGCTTGTTGTAGCGCACTGGTTCTCAAGGTGTGGTCCCCAGACCGTCACCTGAAAACTTGCCAGAAATACAACTTCTCCAGCCCCACCTCAGAGCTACTGAATCAAACTCCGGCAGGTGGAGCCCGACAACGTGTTTAGCAAGCTCTTCCGGTGAGTCTGATGCACGCTGAAGTATGAAAATCACGGATTTAGGCTAAAGTCAGCTTTGCAGTTCATCAAAAGGCCAAGGTCTGAATCCTTAACTGTGAGGCATCAGAATACAAATGAAAATTATTACCCTATTGAGTATTTCCGCCAGGCATTCTTCACGTGTTATCTTATAGGCTCCCCACAACCCTGTGAGATGGTTGCTTGTGCCCCTGTTGTGTAGAGCAGGGTGTTAAGCCGCAGTCAGGTTAATTCCCACAAAGAGACCAAACGTTTTTTAAGAGATTTTTTTGGGGGGCGCCTGGGTGGCTCAGTTGGTTAAGCGACTGCCTTCGGCTCAGGTCATGATCCTGGAGTCCCGGGATCGAGTCCGGCATCGGGCTCCCTGCTCGGCGGGGAGTCTGCTTCTCCCTCTGACCCTCCTTCCTTTCATGCTGTTTCTCTCTCTCAAATAAATAAATAAATAAATAAAATCTTTAAAAAAAAAAAAAAGATTTTTTTTTTAATACAAAAGCCCGATGCGGCAGAGGACGAGCGAGGGCTTCCAGAACAACCGGTAGGAACTCCCTGAAGACCCTCCAATCACAAACTCTTGTCTCCAGCACCCTCAGCCCCACAGGCCCGGGCGCCAGGGTGTCCAGCACCGCCTTCATCACGCCGCCAAGTCGCAGGCGCCGGTTGGGACGAGCGTTACCGTGGAGACAGGCGCGCGCGGCGGGCAGGGCTCGGGAAAGGCGGAAATCGGTGGTGGAAGTGTGGGCGGCCATTTTGAAAGCGGGCAAGAGGGGCGGGACCGCAGCGGCCAAGCGACGGTTGGCCGGTTTCAACTAAGTGACTGGTACCGCGGGGCGGGGGAGAAGAGGGAGGTGCCTGGGGCCACCCCAGGGAGGGATGCGGGGGGCGGGGGGCGGAGAGAAGGGGAGGGAGGAGGGGAAGGCGAGAAGGGGAGAGGCAGGAGAGAGGGAGGGGAGTGGAGGGACCGAGCAAAGGAGGGGAGGGGCGGAGAAAGGGCGGGGCGACGAGCAAGTAGAGGCTAAGAAGCGAGGAGATGAGTAGGGGCGGGGCTATAAGAGGCGGGACGTGGAGCCGGTAGCTGTCCGGCGTATGGAAAAAGCTCGTGGAAAGGGAGAGTGGGACCAAAAGGTGTCGCGGTTCGGGGGGAAGATGAGGCCCGAGAAGGCGCTGACCGACAAGATAGCACCCGCGTGGAACGAGAAAAAGGGGCAGGGAGAGGAGAAGGCGCGGAGCGAAGGGAAGGCCAGTGGCGGGGAGAGATTCCGAGGCAGAGAGAGGGTATCTGAGGGGAATGGGCGTGGTTCTACGAGGGGGCGGGGTGAGGGGCAGGCTCAAGAAGAACCGCTCTCCGAAGACCGGGGGAAAAGGCGGATCGATAAGGGGCGGGTCGAAGAACAAGGACAGCTACAGGAACGGGGGCGGGGCAAGGAAGGGAAGCCGACCCAGGAGCAAGCTCCAGGCGAGAAACAGGGGCGGGGACAGGGAAAGGGGCGGGGCGTGGAGGAAGTCTGGGCCCAGGAACCCGAGAAGGGAGACGCTAGATACAGGACCCGGTACCAGGGTAGGGCCCGTGTCAGGAGAAAGGGGAGATGCGAAGAGAAGTGGGGGGACGGGGCAAGAGGTGGGGGCGGAGCCAGGTGCAGGTGCAAGTGCAAGTGCAAGTGCACGACCAGAGAGAGTAGCAGGACTGGGGAAAATAGATGCGGCACAGCCAAAGCCAGAAACAGAAGCGGAGACCCGGTGAAGAGTAGGGGCGGGATGCAGAGCAGAGGCGGAGCAAAGAACAAGTATGGGGCAAGGTTAAGGGGTGAGGCGAGGAGGCGGGGTGAAGCTAGGAGCAGGGGCGTGTCCAGGAGCAAGAATAGAGGAGGGACCTGGAGTAAAAATAGAGGTGGGATCCAGAATAGGAGCAGGGGCAGCGTCTGGGTCAAGGGCGAAATCTGGAGCAGAAGCGGAACCAGGAGCAAGAGCAGGGGCGGGGCCAGGAGCAAGTGCGGGGGCGGGGCCAGGAGCAAGAGCGGGGGCGGGGCCAGGAGCAAGTGCGGGGGCGGGGCCAGGAGCAAGAGCAGGGGCGGGGCCAGGAGCAAGAGCGGGGGCGGGGCCAGCAAGTGCAGGGGCGAAGCCAGGAGCAAGAGTAAGAGTAAGGGTGGGGCCAGAAGTCTGAGTAGAGGTGGGGCCAGGAGCAGGGGCTGGGCGAAGCGCAGGAACTCGGTAGGATCTCGGAAGGTGGCCCTCAGGCGCAGTCTGGCTGGCAGGCGTTGACCCCCTCTCCAGGTTCGAGTCACGTTGCACGCTGCCCCCCGCGATGTACCCTGCCGGCCCTGCGTGGCCGAAACTCCGAATCCTGCGGGCGCTGTGGGCAGTGCTGGCGGTGCTATTGGCATCGTGGAGGCTGTGGGCGATCCAGGATGTCCAGGAGTGCACCTGGCAGGTTGTCCTGAACAAGTTCGAGACGGTAGGCAAGAATGGCATGAGCGACCGCTTCTTCGATCAAGAGCCCCTGGAGACAGTGGACAGTGTGTTCAGCCCGCTGGTGGATGTACCCACCGACCAGGGCGAGGTGAGGGGACTGGGGTCAGGTGAATGGGAGAGGCCACAGATCTGCACCCCACTGGGCTCTGGACATTTGCCCAACCTTTTCTTGCAGAAATACCTGAGCTTCCCATACTACCTGAAGATCAACTACTCCTGCAATGGAGAGGTGAGTGAGTGCAGCGGGGGTGATCTCATTCTGTGTGGCCCTCAGCTTCCCCAATCTCTAACATTTTAATAGTGGTGGCACCACCAGATCTTGGGGACCCTAAGGATTCAAGAGGATTCCCAGTATCCCACCAGGCACATAGTAGGTGCTCAAGTAAGCTTTTTTTTGCCATTAAAAAAATTGAGATGGGGTGCCTGCGTGGCGCAGTAGGTTGAGCGTCTGACTCTTGGTTTTGGCTTGGTATGTGAGCCCCGCCTCTGCTCCACTCTCAGGGCAGAGTGGGATTGGGGCTCTCTTTCCCTCTCCCTCTCTTCCTCCCCTTCCCCCCTCTCTCTTTCTCTCTAAAAAGATAAATCTTTTTAAAAGATTGAGATGTAACTCACATATCATAAAATTCTCCATTTAAAGTGTACAGTTTAATAGTTTTTAGTATATTAACAAAGTTGTGCAACCATTACCACTAATTACAGACCACATTCATCACCCTATAAAGAAACCCAGGACCCCCATCCTTCAGGCTCTGGAGACTACAGATCTACTTTCTGTTCCTATGAATTTACTTATTCTGGACATTTCATATAAATGGAGTTGTACAAGAGGTAATGCCTTTTGTGCCTGCCTTTTTTCGCTCAACACATTTTCAAGGCTCGCCTAAGATGTAGCATGTATCAGTGTTTCTTATTTATTTATTTATTTATTTTAAGATTTTATTTATTTGACAGAGAGATAGCGAGAACAGGAACACAAGCAGGGGGAGTGGGAGAGGGAGAAGCAGGCCTCCTGCAGAGCAGGGAGCCTGATGTGGGGCTCGATCCCAGGACCCTGGGATCATGACCAGAGCCAAAGGCAGATGCTTAATGACTGAGTCACCCAGGCGCCCTGTTTCCCTTTTAATGATTGAATAATATTTAATTGTAAGGATGTGCTACATTTCATTTATCCATTCATTAATTGATGGACATTTGGGTTATTTCCATTTTGTGGGGGTGGCTATTATGAACAATGCTGTTATAAACGTGTGTACAAGTTTTTCTGTGGACATATGTTTTCAGTTCTCTTAGGTAAATGCCTACAAATGGAATTGCTGGGTCTTAATGTTAACTCTTTTTCACTTCCGAGGAACTGCCTGATTGCTCTCCAAAGCAGTTGGATCATTTTCCATTCCCATCAGCGATGTATGAGGGATGGTACCAATTTCTCTGTATCTTCACCAACACTTGTTCATCTTTTGGTTATAGCCAAAAGACGTGGGTGTAAGGTGGTATCTCATTGTGGTTTTGAGTTACATTTCCCTCATGACTCCTGATGTTGAACATATGCTCACTCTTATTTTTTTTTTAAGATTTTATTTATTTATTTGAGAGAGTGAGAATGAGAGAGAGAGAGAGCACATGGGGGGGGGTGGTCAGAGAGAGAAGCAGACTCCCCGCTGAGCAGGGAGCCTGATGCGGGACCTGATCTCGGGACTTCAGGATCATGAGCTGAGCCGAAGGCAGTTGCTTAACCAACTGAGCCACCCAGGTGCCCCAAACATATGCTCACTCTTAACTTATCTATCTTCTTTGGAGAAATATCTATCCAAATCCTTTGCCAAATTGGGTTGTCTTTTTATTGTTGCATTGTAAAATTTCCCTATATATTCTGAATACTAGTTGCTTATCAGATGTATGATTTGTAAATATTTTGTCACATTCTATGGGGTGTCTTTTCCTTTTCTTGATGGTGTCCTTTAAAGCACAAAGGTTTTATGTTTATTGAAGTGTAATTCACAGACCATGAAATAGCACCAATGTTTTTAACATTGATGAAGTCCAATTTATCCGTTTTTTTCTTTTGTTGCTTGTGCTTTTGGTGTTGTCTAAGAAGGCTGTGCCTAGGTCATGCAGATTGACTTCCATGTTTTCTTCTAAGAGTTTTTTAGTTTTAGCTCTTATGTTTAAGTCTTTGATCCATTTTGAGTTATTTTTTGTGTGTATGGTGTGAGGTAGGGGTCCAACTTTGCATGTGAATATCCTGTTATCCCATTACCATGTGTATAAATGAATTGTCTTGGCACTCTTGTCAGAAATCAATTGACCAGGCCTCCTGGGTGGCTCAGCCGGTTAAGCATATGCCTTTGGCTCAGGTCATGATCTTCAGGTCCTGGGATCGAGCCACATCAGGCTTCCTGCTCAGCAGGGAGTCTGCTTCTCTCTCTTTCCCTCTGCCCCTCCTCGCTGCTCATTCTCTCTCTCTCAAATAAATAAATAAATAAATAAATAAATAAATAAATAAAATCTTAACAACAACGACAACAGCAACAGAAATCAATTGACCATAACTGTAAAGGTTTATTTCTGGGTATAATTCCATTCCATTGCTCTATATGTTTGCCCATATGCCAGTATCACATAGTCTTGATTCCTGTGGGTTTGTAGTAAGTTTTCAGATCAGGAAGTTTGAGTCCTCCAACTTTGTTGTTCTTTTCCAAGATTGTTTTGGCTCAAGTAAGCTTTTGAGGACAGTAGAATGTTGTAGTCTAGAACTGAAGTTCTGGAGGCAGCAGACCTGGTTTGAATCTGCCATTGACTAACATTTACTTGGAGGAAGTGTGGCATGATCGTAGATAGTTTGGGCTCTGAAGCTAGGCTGTCTGGGTTCAAATCCCAGCTCTGCTACATAATAACTGTGTGATCTCTGGAAAATTACTTAACGTCTCTGTATCAAAGTTTCCTCATCCTTGTCAAGGATTCAATAGTGATCATACCCGCTTCACAAAATTATTAAATATGTGTGAAGCACTTAGCAAGTGTCTGGTTCATAGAAAGAGCTCGAGTGAATGCTAACAACAAGTTTGTAGAGTATGACCCTGAACAGAGAGTTTTACCCCATGAACCTTCTCTCCTTATCTGTAAAAGTGTGATAATAATACCTTTATCTGGCCATTCAACACCCACAATGAGTCAGATTCCCCCCCCCCTTTTTTTTTTACAACATGGGGGATATAATGATTAACAGCATGGCTTTGGCTCAGGTCATGATCTTCTGATCCTGGGATGGAGCCCCACATCAGGCTTCCTGCTCAGCAGGGCAGGTTTTTCTTATGGATTCAGGCCACCAGGGAAGCAATCAGCAAGTAAATACATAAAATAATTTCTGAAGAGTAATCAGTGCAAAGAAGAAAATAAAATATTTTATATATTAGAAAACAAGGTGTTACGGGATGGTTGGGGAAGGTCTCTGAAGAGGCTTGAGCAGAGACCTGAGTGATGAAAAGGGATGACTGAGGAGACTGGGGGAAAGCACCCCAGGTCACAGGAGAAGCTAGCACAAAGAGCGCAATGGTCCTGAAGTAGGACAGAGGCTGCTGTGTGTGAGGAGCCATGAGTGAGGGCACAGTGGGAGGAGACAGGGCAGGGAGGTGACCCCAGGCAGATCGAGGACTCGGCCCCCGCTCTAAGTGAGATGGAACCATGAGAAGGTTCTGAGCAAAGGAGCGCCTAATCTGACTCAGGTGTTCCCAGGCTCCTTCCGGCTGGGAGGGGGGGCGGGGGGGCAGGGAGACAGTGGGGAGGCTGTCTGGTGGTCTAGGCAGGAGTTGAGGGTGGACAGGACCAGGGCCACTTTTGCCCCAACGGGAGAGCCCCGCCTCACTGGCACCTGCAGCTGTGTGGTTGAAAAACCCAAGGGGCTCCTGGGTGGCTCAGTCTGTTAAGCATCTGACTCTTGATCTCAGCTCGGGTCTTGATCTCAGGGTTGTGAGTTCAAGCCCCCTCTTGGGCTCCATGCTGGGCGTGGGGCCTACTTAAAAAAAAAAAAGAAAGACCCAGAAGTAGGGCTGGGACAGGTGCTGTTGGCAGGGTTGAAAGGGCCCTGGCTGAGCCGATGAAGGCCTGTGCAAAGGTGGTTGGGCCCATAATTTTTTTTTTTAAAGATTTATTTATTTATTTGAGAGAGTGAGAATGAGAGAGAGTACATGAGAGGGGGGAGGGTCAGAGGGAGAAGCAGACTCCCTGCCGAGCAGGGAGCCCAATGTGGGACTCGATCCCGGGACTCCAGGATCATGACCTGAGCCGAAAGCAGTTGCTTAACCAACTGAGCCACCCAGGCACCCGGCCCATAATTTTTTTTTTTTAAGATTTTATTAATTTGAGACATACACACACACACAGGTGCACGCCAGTGTGGGGAGGGGCAGAGGGAGAGGGAGATTCCCCGCTGAGCAGGGAGCCTGATGTGGCGCTCCATCTCAGGACCCTGACTACGGGATCATGACCTGAGCTGAAGGCAGATGCTCAACCGACTGAGTCACCCAGGCTCCCCTGGTTGAACCCATCAAATCTCTCTCCCTGGTCTCACAGTCTACCCCCCACCCAAGAGGGCTGCTTGAGTGCAGCCTTCTCTTGGAGATGCCTCTAAGCCTTTGCTTATGCTGTTCCATACACCAGGTACACCCTTCTCCTTCTCTCCTTTCTTCTCTACTGTAAGCCCTGCCTCTCTTTCTCCACCCAGCCAGGACTCTGGAATTTCTGGGAGGCTGTCCCTGGCTATCTCCTCTTGCTCCTTACTTGTTCCTTTCTGTGTAACTGCCCTCTCCCACCCTCACCCACAGGCTCCAGCTCCAAAACCTGGCTATCCTCTAACTGGGGACGGGGAGGGGGGAAGGGTGGCAGAGAGTCAAATTTCTGCAGGGAGGGTAGAAGCCTCAAGAGTGGGACTGGGAACCCCTGAAGTGAGGGAAGAGGCTACTAGGAGCCCTGAGTGCCAGGTTCATTCCCACTTGCCCATGTTTGCTTATCCCATGCTGCTATTCCCTGTGCATTCCCTCCATCCAAATTCTGTCTGAAGACAGTGGCTCTGGCCTTACCTCCTCCTGTGACTCCCTTCACAGCGCCTAGCCTCTCTGCCTATCTCCGAGCCTGACCTGCCCCCACCCAACCCCAAACCTAGACCATGTTCTCTGACCTTCCCGTGGTGGAGAGTCTGTTCTCCCACCCAGTCTAAGAAGATGGGCTCAAGGCAGGGGTACCCAGAGCCTCTCTTAAGTACACACCTGTGGGGACATCTTGCCCTCAGTCCTCCGAGGCCCAGGTCCGCAAGGGCCACCTGACGGGGCTGAAGCCCGTGGTGCTGGTGACCTTCCAGTCCCCAGTCAACTTCCGTCAGTGGAAGATAGAGCAGCTGCAGATCCAGATGGAGGCAGCCCCCTTCCGTAGCAAAGGTGGGCCTGGGGGGCACCTGGAGGGGCCATAGCCTGGCAAGGTTTGTGGGGAGCTTGCTGGGGGCCTTAGCAGAGTCCATGACCTTGAGGGGGAGGCTGACATCCTCAGAGGAGCCCATGGCCTGGCGGGGTTTTGGGAGTTTTGGGGGTGCCGCAGTGGGGTCTGTGACCTGAAAGAGGGCACAGGGAGGCCTCAGCAGGGTCCATGGCCTAGATAGGGCCACACAAGGGCTGCAGTGGGGTCCATGGCCTAGAGGGGGCCTGGGGAGGTGCAGGGAGATCCCAGGGGACTGTGGCCTGGAGGGCACCCTTGGGAGGCCCCAGAAACCTCAGTGCCCACTGTCTACCAGCAGAGCAGTGCACCGCAGAGGAGGTGTGTGTCATGAGCTGGTACACACCCATGCCCATCAAGAATGGCAGCGTGGTCATGCGTGTGGATGTCAGCAGCAATGGCCTGGGGCCCTTCATTCCCAATAAAAGGTGCCCTTTCCCAAGCCCGGGGCAGGGGGTAGACTCTGGGAGGGACTTCCTAATCTCCAGATCCCCCAAGAAGCCAGGAGGAGACCAAAGGGAGGGAAGAGGGTAGGGAGGTGATTGTGAGCTATGGCAGGAGCCCCCGACATTGGAACCCTCGCCTGTGCTTGTCCACACCTCCTGCCAGATTTCAGGTGAACATCAATGGCTTCTTGCAGAGACAGCAAGACAACACACTCCATTTCACTGTGGGGAATGAGGTGAGGGGCCCAGACAGTAGAGAAACATGGTAGAAAACGTGGGTTAAAGACAGTGGGCTGGGGCCCCAATGACTTCCCAGACAAGTGGCAGACCCCACTTCCAGAGTGCTCTCCTTGCACCAGGTCCCAGGTGAAGCGCTCCACTAAATGTGCAACCACGTTCAGTCCTCACAATGACCCTGTAAGGGAAGACACTCACACAAACCCATTTTCAGGAGGAAAACACTGAGGCCCCCAAGGGATGGACCCATTTGCCCCCAGTCTCCCAGCATGCAGCTATGGAACGAGACTTGAAACGATGTTAGCCTGACTCCTGCACCCATAGTCTTCATCAAGGTGCATGCATGCGTTCAGCAGGCACTTAACTGAGCACACAGTGTGGCCATGAGGTGGCGCCATGGGGGGGGGGCAGGGGGAGTGTTGAGCAGCCCTCCCTCCAGCCCCACATGCCCCCTCCCCACCCCCGCCAGATCTTCAATCTGATACCCCGGTACTTCATGAATGTCCCATCGAGGGCCCTGTGGCACACTGTGGACCAGGCACCTGTGCTCATCTTGGGTGGCATTCCTGATGAGAAGTCCATCCTGCTGACGGACACCAGCTTCACCGACTTCTTTCTTGTGGAGGTGAGTGGTGTAGGGCAGGTGGCGGGTGGTCTGGGGTTTCTTGAAGGGTGCTGGGCCTCAGCCTCTAAAATAAGGTGGGGTCGGGGCGCCTGGGTGGCTCAGTCGTTAAGCGTCTGCCTTCGGCCCAGGTCATGATCCCAGGGTCCTGGGATCGAGCCCCGCATTGGGCTCCCTGCTCCGCAGGAAGCCTGCTTCTCCCTCTCCCGCTCCCCCCGCTTGTGTTCCCTCTCTCGCTGTGTCTCTCTCTGTCAAATAAATAAAATCTTAAAAAATAAATAAAATAAGATGGGGTCTGGGGCTGTGGAAAGAGTCCCTAAAGACAGCAGCCCCCACGAGAGGCAGCCAGCAGGAAGGGAAGACGTAAGACTGCAGCCACTCCTGGCTATGTGACCCTGAGCCAAGTCATTTCACCTTCCCGGGCCTCAGATTCTCCATCTGTCCCATCTGGAAAATGCAAATAATCTTTATATTCACCTCATAGAATCATCGTGAGGTTGGTATAAGTTAACATCAGCCAGACACAGAATGAGTACTCGACAAAAACAAAACCACAATGCTGTTGTGATACCCAGCAAAAGTAACTAGAACCCTTTCATATCATCTAACAGGGCCAGAGTCAGTATTCCCCAATTATCTAAAAATGTCTTAAATCTTTTTTTTTTATTTGGGGGCGCCTGGGTGGCTCAGTCGGTTAAGCATCTGCCATCAGCTCAGGTCATGCGCTTAGGGTCCTGGGATTGAGCCCCGCATCCAGCTCCTTGCTCAGCGGGGAGCCTATTTCTCCCTCTTCCCTGCTTGTTCTCTCTCTCTTGCTCACTCTCTCTCTTTCAAATACATAATGAAATCTTTTAAAAATTTTTAAAAATTAAAAGAAATTTTTTATTTGAATATAGTTGACACAATGTTACATTAGTATCGAATGTACAACATAGTAATCAGCAAGTTTATACATTGTATAGCTACCGTCTATACATTGTGTAGCTACCATCTGTCCCCATACAACACTATTACAGTACCATTGACTATGTTCCCTGTGCTGTACCTTTTATTCCTGTGACTCATTCATTCCCTAACTGGAAGCCTGTATCTCCCACTCCCCTTCGCCCATTTTGCCCATCCTCCTACCCCTCCCCTCTGGCAACCATCAGTTCTCTGTATTTATGGGTCTGATTCTGCTTTCTGTTTGTTTATTTATTCATTTGTTGTGTTTTTTTTTTTAGATTCCACATATAAGTGAAATCATATGGTATTTGTCTTCTTCTGTCTAACTTATTTCACTTAAAATAACACCCTGTAGGTCCATCCATATTGTCACAAATGGCAAGATCTCATTTTTTATGGCTGAGTAATATTCCATTGTGTATGTATACCACATCTTCCTTATCCATTCGTCAGTCGATGGACACTTGGGTTGCTTCTATATCTTGGCTATTGTGAATAATGCTCAGTAAACATAAGGGTGCATATATCTTTTCAAATTAGTGTTTTCCTATTCTTTGGGGAAATACCCAGTAGTGAAATAATACTGGATCATATGGTAATTCTACTTTTAATTTTTTGAGGAACCTCCATACTGTTTTCCACACTGGCTGCACCAGTGTGCATTACCACCAACAGTGCATGAGGGGTCCTCTTTTTTTTTTTTTAAGACTTTATTTTTAAGTAATCTGTACACCCAACATGGGGCTCGAACTCACAACCCCAGTATCAAGATTTGCTTGCTCTACGACTGAGTGAGCCGGGCACCCCAGAAGGTTCTTTTTTCTCCACATCCTCCCCAACACTTGTTGTTTCTTGTTTTGTTGATTTTAGCCATTCTGACAATTGTGAGGTGATATCTTCCTGTGGTTTTGATTTGCATTTTCCTGATGATGAGTGATGTTGAGCATCTTCTCATGTGTCTGTTGGCCATTGTCTTCTAAAAATGTCTTTTAAAGTTGGTTTGAATCAGGATCAACACATTGTGTTTGGTTAAGTCTCTTAATACTCTTCTCACCTGTAAGTCTGCTCCCCACTCCATCTCCTTCCTCTCATCTACCACCTTTTCTCAGGCAATTGGAGAAACCAGGCCTTTTGTCCTATAGAATTTAGCTGCTTGCTTCTTCATGGAATTGGTTAATTTGTTCCTCTGACCCTATGTAGTAGTCTGCTCAGGCTGCCATAACAAAATACCACAGACTGTGTGTCTGAAACAAAAATTTATAGTCTCACAGTTCTGAGGCTAGAAGTCCAAGATCAAAGTGTCAGGAGGGTGGTTTCTGGGGAGGCCTCTCCTCAGCTTGCAAGTGCCGTCTCAGTGTGTGCCTTTTCTGTGCTCACCTGTGGAGAGAGAGAGATCTCTGGTGTCTCTTCCTCTTCTCATAAGGACACCAGTCCAATAGGATTAGGGACCCATCTTTATGACCTCAGTGGACCTTAATTTTCTCCTTAATGGCAGGGTTAGATATTCAACATATAAACTGGGGGTGGGGACACAATTTGGTGCATAACACCCCATAGAGTTATTGCCTGTAAACTGGTACTGAGCTCTAGAAGCTTGATTAAATTTAGATTCTTTTATTTATTTATTTTTAAAGATTTTATTTATTTGAGAGAGAGAGAATGAGAGAGAGAGAGCACATGTGAGGGGGGAGGGTCAGAGGGAGAAGCAGACTCCCTGCTGAGCTGGGAGCCCGATGCGGGACTCGATCCCGAGACTCCAGGATCATGACCTGAGCTGAAGGCAGTCGCTTAACCAACTGAGCCACCCAGGCGTCCTAAATTTAGATTCTTTTAGTCAAGAACCCTCCACTGATGGTGCTTCCCCACGGTTAGTCTATGATATCGCCAGCGTTAGTGATTGGTCAGTGAGTTCAGAGCGTGTCAGCCTGACAGCCAGTTGTGTCCAAGGTAAAATAAGGTGGTTGGGCCAAACATGAGACCTTTGGGATCTGACTGTGGCCTGGGGAACAGAGGTTGATGTGTGCTGTTGAGTATGCTGTGCACTGCCAAACTCTAGGGAGCACACAAAGTCCCAACTGCCTCTGGCTTGGGTCACCTGCCTCCCTGACCCATGTTGGGGAAGTGTGGCCACAAGGTACTACTTCATGGTGAGCAGGGAAGGTGCCCTGGGGGCAGCTGCCTGTGTCCATCCCAAGCAGTTGTCAGAGCAGGTGCCCCCCTTCCCAAGGCAGGATCTGGGGGCTGAAGCCAAGGTGAACCTGTTCACCACTGACTCTGCTCTCCTGCAGTTGAACATTGACAGTTGCTGGGTAGGCTCCTTCTACTGCCCTCAGGCCAGTTTTACTGCCACCATCTATGATGCCATTGCCACCGAGAGCACTCTCTTCATTCGGCAGAACCAGCTTGTCTACTATTTTACGGGCACCTATCTCACCCTCCACGAGAGCAACCGCGGCAGTGGTGAGGGGTCCCTGGCATCACAGGGAAGGGGTCCTACCTGTGGGAGCCCCAGGGAGGGCACCCCAGTGAACCCATCCACTGGAAGCGCCCGGGATTGGAATTTCCATGGGTGGGGAGGGGGGTGTTAGAGGGACTTTCTGAGGTCCTTGATCATCACTACCCACCCCAAATGGCCTTCTCCTACCCTCTATATGCTGGGATAAGGCTTTCCTCCGGACCTATGAACAAGCAGAGGGGAGAGGGAGGTGTGAGAGGGAAAGGGGAGAGAGAGAGAGAGAGAGAGAGAGAGAGAGGCAGACATGTGTGTGCGCTTGCGTGTGCGCACACACACACACACACAGTGTCAGAAAGACAGAGGAAGACAGGCAAAGAGACATGCATAGAAAAGGAGCAGTTTTGGGGGTGGGAGAGAGGTATGGAGAGTCAGAGAGAAAGGCAGACAGAGAAAGTGGGATGAGCAGTTGGAGAGGAAAAGCCACAAAGGTGACTGATCACAGAGGAAAAAGAGACTTTTGATTTAACCTTATCTTTTAAATGATACCCAAACCCTCCTGGTCCTCAGCTCCCCCCCCCCATATAAATGAGAAATGTCATTTTATAAGGTCACGGAAACTTGTATTATAACCTGTATTTCATTAAGGCTTATTCCCAACAGCTTCATTTTCGTCCCTTTCTTACTTAGAACATTTGACAGTAGGAGGAACCAAATTAAAATGGACTTAGGTCAAAGAAAGGGTTTAGATAGATGAAAAACCCAGGAGCACTTGGTTTCAGGTACAGTTGGATCTAGCTGCTCACTGAAGCTTAGGCCTCTCCTTGTGCCAGCCGTGGTGATTCCCCCCTCCATCTAGCATCTATGGACTTTTATCCTCTCAGGGGCCCCAGGGAAGAACATCTCTTCATTAGTAGTGGCAAGCTGGGACTGTCTCTGATTGGTCTAGCTTGGTCACATGCCCAGTTGAATCCTTTACTCTGACCAGGGGCATACAAGGGTGGGGTTAGCCCAATCTGTACCTCTCAGACAAAGTATGAGCAAGGGGAGATTTTCCCAAAGGCAGCTGGGCCAATGGCCCCTCAGACACCACACTGAATAGCCATTAAGGCCATGGAAATATGGGTGAGGGTCAGGTCCCAGGTCTATAGGTCTGGGTCTGAGGTTCCATGCTGGCCCCCACAGGGAGCTGGGTTCGTGTCCTGGCCGATGGGTGCATCAAGAGGCTGTGCCCTGTGCATTTCCATAGCAATGGCTCAGAGTACATCATGGCCCTCACCACTGGCAAGCGGGAAGGCTATGTCCATTTTGGGACCATCACAGGTAAGGATGGGGGTCTCTATCAGTCCAAGAGACCCTTCTATACCCTCGTGCCTCCAAGAATTCCAACCTCTGGCCCTCATCCCTCACCAGATGCCTTCAGGAGGGGTCCCAGGCTGGAGGTTGACCCTGTGAATAGGGATGGGTTTTGCATTTGTAGTAGGACTTGAGTGTGTTATATATCTTTCATGATCTGTTTGGTTTCAAAGGGCAGAAGTCTAATTCAAAAATCATTTAGGCATATTTGTGGACTTGATAAATGAGAAAACCAGAGTCCACCTTCAGGCATGGCCAGATCCAGGGGCCCACTGGTTATATCATTAGGACTCTGTCTATATCTTGGCAAGGTCGTATAGCATAGTAATTAGAGTAGAGAGAGAGATCGCATGAACACCCCCAACCCAAGTCACCTGTGGCTTTGGACAGGTGATTTAACCTCTCTTTTTGGTCTTGTTTTCCTCATTTGCAAAATGGGGTTAATGATAATACTAGTACCTGACTCTTGGGTTGATATAAAGATTAAGTAAATTGGCATGTGTAAAGGTCTTAGGACAGTGCTAGGGACACAGTGGATGCTCTAAAAGGGTTTTTATTATGAACCCTGAGATTTGGCTTCATTTTCAGGTAGATACTCCTCTCTTGGGGGTTGAAGATGGTCCAGGAAGTTGGGGCTCACATCTCCAACCAGTTTGAGTTACCCCAAAAGAATGAAAGCAGCCTCTTCCATTAGCTCTAGCATGAACCCAGGGTGTACTCTGATTGGCCCATTCTGGGTCAGTGTCCAGACCTGAACCAATTACTGTGACCAGAGACAGACCCACAGTGGAAGGCCAGGTGTGAGTGACTGTCAGGTTGGGGATGAGACTCACCCCCAGAAGTCCCACAACTAAGGGGGCGGGAGGCACAGGCACCACACCCTCGTCGATTGGAGACCTGGTGTGGTGGGATGCCAGACAGACTGGCAAGGGCCTGAGCATGGACCTGCCTTACTCCGCAGATGGTCATGTGTCCTTCAAGTTGCTGCCCAAGCAACGGTCTGTGTGCGAAGGGATACAAGGTACCTAGCTCCCAAAGGGGTCTAAGGCAGGCAGGTGGGGGGATCAAGAGTGTGGGAGAGCAGAGAAGGGTGGGAGAGGTCATGCGAAAGAACAGTGGTGTCTTGGGAGGGGTGGAGAGTCGCAGGGATAGGCGTGACAGTTACCAGAGACCATGGAGAGGGGTGAGTCCAGGGCTGCTCTGGACCTACCCCTTCCTGTCCAGTTGCCAACTGCTCCATAACCTGGGCCGTATTCATTGCTGGTGACTACATATTAATGATGCTGGTGGAGATCCAAGACCCCACCACTGGGAAGTATTTCCAGGTGGTCAGCTACGACTTGGGTAATTGGGATGCTGTGGGGGGCTGCGTGGGAAGGGGCAGGAGCCCAGATTGTGAACTTCGTGCCTGTCTGTAGGATCTGTGCTCAACAGACAGGGGGAGGGAAATGTTGTTCACATCACTCCTGGGTAAGAGGTAGTGGTAGAGAATGGGCTTGGTGGGATGGAGAAACAGAAGAAAAAATATGATTGGAACAGAGCGGGGCATGGGGAGGGAGGGAGATTGGAGAGGTGGGCAGAAGCCAAATCTGGAAGGGCCTTGTGGCTCACAATAGGAGATTTTATTTTATTTTATTATTTTATTTTATTTTATTTATTTATTTTACCTGAACAGAGAATAGGACTGCTATGTACAGTTGTATAGGCTGTGCACTGTACTCTCCAGCCAAGAAATCAGAGGAGGCAAGTCCTGTGCCCTAACATATTCACATAAAGAAACCCTAAGGGCTAACAGGCCCAAATGAGAAGCCATTCAAGGGTTTTTTGGAGGGCTTGGGGAGCTGGTGACTTGCCCAGTTTCAGGTTTTGAAAGCTCAGAGCCTCAGAAGATTTTGCTGTGTTCTCCCCGGCTGTAGTCAGTGATAACCTGGTCATCGTCTACACCATCCCGGAATTCATCCCTGATGGTAGGAAGGGAAGGCAGAGGGGGTCTCAAAGGTGGATGAGGGCCAGGAGAGGTCCAGATGACCCTTCCCTCACTGCTGTGTCCACTCTGCCTGTGTCCAAGCCAGCTCGAGGCCTGGAGTTTCTGATGATTCTAGGGACAGAGTCTTACACCAACTTCCCAATGGTACCCAAGGGCATGTTCCACAACCCGTATAACAACCTGCTGTTCATCTGGGGCAATTTCCTCCTGCAGAGGTATGGGGCTGGGCCTATTCTGCCTCTCCCGGTCCCATCAGGGTGGGGGCTCTTTCTGAAGTCATCAGGTTTTCAGAGCATGCGCAAGTCCAGAAGTTCTCAGGATTGTGATGGGGAAAACACGAGCTGCGGTGGTCAGGGCTGGGATGGGGAAGCTGACATTTTAAAGCTCTGGGAGGCCTTTCTTAAATGAAACCCTATGTAAGGACCCAACCTATGTGAAGGGCATTGTCAGGGGGAAAGGTTAGGACACTTTGCACCCCTCAGGAACTTTGGGGCCCCTGAGTCAGCTCCATGGGCTGTTGGCAAAGCGCTAGGTTGGCCAAATGCCCCTGTTGACAGGTGGGCAGGTCACCCAGGCTTCCAGGTATATTCTCACAAGGCTAGCAGAGAGTGGAGTGAATGGGTCTTGGCTCCTGTTAGGCCTGGAGTTGAGGGAAGCTGATAACCTGCAGGAGCCTCACCTGAGTGTCCCTGGCTCCGATCTCTGCCCTTTGCAGCTACAACAATGAAAACTTCATCTACCTGGCGGATTTCCCCAAGGAGCAGTCCATTAAGTACCTGGTCAACTCGTTCCACGGGGACATGGCTATTGTCACAGAGACTGAGGAGGTGGGCTACCCTGCTCCTCTCTCCAAACCCCAGGGGTCTCCCTTCTTCCTCTGTCACAGGTAAAGGGGTTCAGGGGAGGAGATGCCCTCAGGGATTCCAGAGAAGGGCAGCAGAAGCTCCATTTATAGCTGAGAATCCTGCAACTCAAAGAGAAAGTCATTTTTTCCCCCAGTCTTTCAGCAGAGTGAAAGACTCAGAGTCATGATCTGATTTCCAGAGGGGACCCTCTTTCATTCCATCATGTGGTTCACTTCATAAACATTGAGCATTTACTGTATACCTGACCCAGCGCTGGGGGTACAGTGGTGACTGGGTCAGCCCTGGACCTTGTCCTCACAGGGTCCCAGTCCAACAACAGTTCAGAGTAGTCGGGGCTGGAGGGAGGAAGACAGTACCTATGGAAGTTCAGAAATGGGGTGCCGCTGAATTTCCAGTTCAGTCTGGGGGTGTGTATGTGTGTGTGGGTCAGGGAGGGCTTCATAGAAGAGGCCACATGGAGGAGGGGCATCCTCAAGGCTGCAGGGGATCCTCCAGGTTGACTCTCAGAAGGGACTGAGGTCTAGAGTCAAATGTGTGGTGGGGTGGGCATCCGTGCAGAGATGGGAAACTGAGGCTAGGGGGATGGTGAGACCCCGGAGGGTGCAAAGAGTGAGGAGAAGATAGGGTTCACCCCTAGGAACCCTGGAGGGGTGTAACTACTAGGAATGCTTCAGTTTCAAGTAATAGCCACTCAAGCCAACTGGAACACTGAAGACATTTATCGTAGCAAGTGGGGCCTGGAAGCAGAGGGGTTCAGGCTCTGGGGAGTAGAGATGGCGTCACAGAGAGAAGGTTTGTGAGCTCACCTGGCCCCGGCTAGAAGTGAGCTCTCAAGCCTCACCCTCAGGAACGGGGGCCATCACGCTGCGCAGAGGGAGAGGTGGGGTCAGAGGTCCCCATGGCCCTCACACACCTCTGTTGCACCCCCAGATCTGGTACCTCCTGGAGGGCAGCTACCGGATGTACAAGCTGTTCCCATCCAAAGCCTGGGAGGTGTACGTCAGCCTACAGGTGATGCACCAGTCCTCTTTCTACACCCCCAGTGAGACCATGGTCACCCTCTTCTACGAAGACCGCAAACTGTACCAGGTGCCAAGCGGGGGGTCACGGGGAGCCATGGGGGAGCCGCAGGGTGGCTGGCTGACAGCAGCTTGCCCGGCCCCACCTCCCCACGGCAGCTGGTGTACCTCATGAACAACAAGCAGGGCCAGCTTGTCAAGAGGCTCGTGCCCGTGGAGCAGCTCCTGATGTACCAGCAGCTCGGCAATCACTACCTCTTGCAGCGGCAGGGGTAGGAAGACCCTGGACCTCAGCAGCAGTCAGGGAGCCCTCCGTGCTGCCCACACAAAGCCCCTATTCCAGGAGGGAGAGCAAGTCATCCCCAGTGGCAATCCTCAGGGCTGGGATGGGCCAGCTTAGCGCCCATGGAAGCTCAAAGGAGGGGCCTGACCGAGGCTGGGGGAGGCGGGTGCCATCAGGGAGAACTTCAAAGAGGAAGAGGTGCGAGAGCCACTGTGAGCTGAAGGGGGAGGGAGAATTAGCCAGGTGATAACATGGAGAAGGGGTTCCAGGCAGGGGAAGCCACATGTGCAAAGGCCTTGAGGAGGAAAGGAGATTGGGTGTTCAAGACTGAGAGAAGTGTACAGCGCAGGCAGAGTGCAGTGCTGGGGGCAGGGTGGACAAGGTGAGCCTGGTGATCATAGGGAGGAACTTGGACTTCATCTTGAGGGTCCTGGGGAGCCATGGTGGGACTAAGAGGAGGGACTGCATGGCCAGATTTTACTGCGTTCAATAATGATCCTTCTGGTCACCTGCCGAAGAGCCTGGGAGGAGCTGGGAGAGGGGGTGGGGAGAAAGGGAGTGGAAGAAGGCGTAAAAAGTTGAGGGGGGGGAGCGGGTGTCTAGGATGAGGTCCAGAACTCTGGTCTGAGGGACCCAGGGACGTCCAGGGGAATTTGTCCAGGGACACCAGGGGCTGAGGCTGAGGAGGAAGGTCAGGGCTGGATTAGATTTGGAGAATCAGCAGAGCAGAGGGGGGAGGAAGGCCTGACGGGTGGTGGGGGGAGGTTCGCGGTGCGCCAGGCGCGGAAGAGTCAGCCGCCGCCCCCCCTCCCCACCCCCGCGCCACTGCCGCCGCCCAGGAACCACCTGACGCTCTCCTTCACCAACTTCTGCCCCTTCACCGTGATGCGCCTGCGGGACCTGCCCAACCCGCAGATCTACACGCGCCAGGAGCGCTACCGGGCGCACCCGCCGCGCGTGCTGGAGCCCTCGGGCTTCCACGACGAGAACTCTCTCGCCGTCTACCAGGGCCTCGTCTACTACCTGCTTTGTCTGCACTCCAAGTACCACAAGGTGGGCTCCTGGTGGGGGCCCGGTCTGATCTGAGACCGGACTGAGGAGAAAGCAAGGCCCGCGAGGCTGGAACGGAACGGAGCTGCCTGGGAGAATCCGAGGCTAAGGGGGTCCGGGGCAGCCGGCAAGCAGAGCTTTAGGAGGGTGGCTGTTGAGCTGTGAGTAGGGCTGGGGGTGGGGGGCTAAGCTCAGAGAGGTGCAGACATCTGCTCAGAGTAACCCAAGGAGCTACCAGGGTCTGGTAGCTTTGGCTTTGGGTTAGGGACTGGGCATGCCACCTGCCTGGGGTCGCCTCCGCAACCCCCCCCGCCCCAGCTCACGGTGCCGGCCGTCCCCCCAGCCATACGCGGACCCGGTGCACGACTCCACCTGGCGCTGGTGGAAGAACAAGAAACTGGACCAGGTGCGGGGAGAGGGTTGGAGGTCGGGGGAGCGGCGGCGTCAGGACACCCCTCCCGGTCCCCGCCCCGGGTCTGACTCTGCCCCGCATCCCATCCCCCAGGATTACTACTTCTATCTGGCTAGCAACTTGCAGAGCGCGAGTAACGTGTACATTGACATGGCCAGCTACGAGAAGATCTACGACCTCAAGGCCAAGCACGAGCTGCCCGAGCGCATCTTTCTGGACAAGGGCACCAGCTACGCCTTCTCCGTCTTCCTGACCGTCCGCGGGCACTCGTTCGAGTTCCAGCCGGAGCGCGGTCTGTGGGCGAGGCTGGAGTGGAGTCCCCGGGGCGGGGCGAGGGCTGCGGCCTGGGCCCTGCCAGCCCAGGGGGCGGGGCCTGGGGCGGGCCTGGGGCGGGGCCTGGGGCGGGGCACCGTCCCACGCGCGCGGCCCTAACCCCTCTCTGTGCATGTAGTGCTCACCACCGTAGAGCTGCGCAGCAAAGTGGATCTGGGCGTGGTGCTGGCCGACCCGGGCTGCATCGAGGCGGTGGTGAAGCAGAAGGTCCTCATTAATCGCAACTCGGTGCTTTTCTGGGTGAGATAAAGCGGGGAGGGAGTGTCGAGGTGGGGGCGGAGCTCCCGGGGCAGGGCACTTTTAGAACTGCCACGGGTCCTCAGGCAGGCCTGTTGACGCCTTCATTTCTGCCCCCAACCCCAGGTTACGCTCAGTGATAAAAGGTCTTGCTTTGATCAGGGCCTTAGTGGACATCACCTCATGAAGACCTCCATGTTGGTCAAGGTTCGGTCCAAGACTGGAGGGGAGGGGACATGGGAGGAGGGGAAAGACTGAGCCCACGGGACCCACCATCATCACCTGCTTCTACCCACAGGTGGTGGGCGCGGTCGGGCACTGCTTCCAGAACACACACGAGGGGCCCCGCATGCAAGTATTGGACCTTGGGGTATCGGGCCCTGTGTCGGGAGGGAGGGGATTGGGTTGAGTCTTGACAGGGCTGATTCTGAGTGCTCCCCCTGGGAATCCCACTAGTGCATTCATAATTTCTTCCTTTTGGTTCATTCACCCACGCACCTACCCACCCACTCCTTTCATCCATTCATATTTGCCGAAAGGGCTGCCTTTATGGTTGTGTACCTTGCACCCAGGCTTGTATGTATAATATTTTTCTGCACGGAAGAGTAAGGCATCTGCAACACAGGCCTTTTTGTTCCCAGTTGGCACAAAGGAAGTCATGTGGGCTAGCTGGGCCCTTCTTTCACATGTTGCTCTTCATTTGCCCGCTCACACGTGCTTTGTTCACTCCAGTGGGTCCTTAGTTCTTCACTTGCTTACCCATGCAATATCCCTTTTGTACAGAGGCAGACACTGAGGCTCAGAGAGGTGCAGACATCTGCTCAGAGTAACCCAAGGAGCTAATAAGTGGTAAAGGAGGGACTTGACCGAGGTGCCTTGTTCTCACCCACTTCCTTGCCCACTCACCAGCAGACAGGCCCTGCTATCCTCCCTCCTGGCTTGGTATAACCCAGGAAAATAAAAATAAAAAATGGAGGGGGTTGTAATAGCCCCCAGCTCATTGTGGGGAGAAGGAGAGCAGGGAGGGGTGGCTGCCTCAGCATCCAATAAGTATTTCCTGCTAGCCTTGGTGATATGCATTATTTTCCTTTTAATGATAACCCCAGAAGGTCAAAGTTAATACCTCATTTTTGACCCAAAGGATCCATTCTAGGAGTCTAATCTGCAACACCCTGTTACAGCAAAATGTTGGAAACAACCTAAATGTCTGTTAATAGGGGAGTGGTTAAATAAATCATGGTACATCCATTCAATGGAAAACTATGCAGTTGTAAAAAAAAAAGGGGGGGGAAGATCTCCACATACTGATGTGGAATACTCTCCAAAGTGTATTTTATTTTGTTTTTAAGATTTATTTATTTATTTAAGAGAGAGAAAGGGAGCATGAGCAGGGGGAAGGGGCAGAGAGAGAAACTCGAGCAGACTCTGCACTGAGCGTAGAGCCTGATGCAGGGCTCAGTCCCATGACCCTGAAATCAGACCTGAGTTGAAACTGGGAGTCAGATGCCAAACTGACTGCACCACTCAGACACCTCCAAAGGGTATTTTATTCTTTTTTTTTTTTTTAAAGATTTTATTTATTTATTTGACAGAGAGAGACACAGTGAGAGAGGGAACACAAGCGGGGGAGTGGGAGAGGGAGAAGCAGGCTCCCCGCAGAGCAGGGAGCCCGATGCGGGACTCGATCCCAGGACCCTGGGATCACGACCTGAGCTGAAGGCAGTCGCTTAACCAACTGAGCCACCCAGGCGCCCGGGTATTTTATTCTTAAGAGGAAAAAACTGGGTGCAGAACAGTATGTATAAAACATTAGCATGAAGGAGGCTAATTGAGAACATATATTCATGTTGGTTTTTATTTGCATGAAGAAACTGGGAAGATAAGTGCAAAAGTCCTTAGAGTGAATTGCTGCTCTGGGATGGAGGAGAGGCAGGAACAGGAATGGGAATGGGGATGGATGTGAAACTTGTCACAGTGTGTGGGTGGGTGGGTGTGCGTGTGTGCGCAGAGGAAAGTGGAGAGAGATGAGATGAAGTAAGGGGGCAGATCATGTGAGGCCTAGTGGGCCATGGTGCCCCAGGAGCCGAGGAGGGACTCAGGCGTTCACAGCCTGCATGCAGGGGATAGACTGGGGGGAGGGGCAGGAGCAGGGAGACCAGGGAGGAAACAAGGTTGGGCAAGACAAGGTGGGGGGGGGGAGCAAAAGAGTTGAGGAGGTCAGGGAGGGGATGGCTGTTTTGAAGTCTAGAGAAACAGGATGTCTAAATGGACTGGCTGTGGTATGAGAGAGAGAGGTTTCCAGGACAAGGCTTTTAGCCTGAACATGGAGCGATGAGGTGCCATTAGCCAAGATGAGTTGTGGATAGGTGGAATCTGAGCTGCCCATTGGACCTCCCAGTGCATGAGCGGCTGATAGGTGTAAAATCTTGGGCCCAACCCTAGCATGGGGAGTGCTTGCTTAATCTATGGCCACCAACCCCTCTCCCCAGTCACCGTGAAGCTCATGCCACAGTCTTTGCCTGTCCATGTCCCTTTGACAATTGGATGAAACCTTTGGACCCTACCCCCGAAATGGGCCAAAGGCTGTTCATTTTGAAGATGATGTCATGGGAATTCCCTAACCTCTGACCCCCATCCTGAGCTTCCCTCCCCTCCTATATCTCAGGCTCCTCCCCGATCTATTATTATTTGAGAATTCAGGCCCAACCTGAGCCCCATGCAGTCCACCTACAAGTTGGCTCCCCCGTAGGTGTAGGTGATGGTGATGTTGTGTGTCTTTTTCCGGAGGCAGCTGGAACCAACCTCTCAGTTCCAATTCCAGCTCTACCCACTTCAGGTGGGGCTTTGGATAATTAACAAATGGCTTGACCTCTCTGTGCCTCATTTTGCCGTCTCTGTCATGGGGATGTGAATAGTCTCTACCATACAAGGCTTGTTTTTTTGAGGATTCAATTTGAGCTTGAAGTACTTAGAACATCACCCTGTGCCTTGCACACAGTAAGAACGACATAAATAGTTTGCACTTTTTAGAGTATTGTTTTAATGGTAATAATGGTCATATGGCAGGGGTGAGGGTGAGCCTGGCAGGAAGGGGCGAGGTGTGTGGGAGGAGGGGTGTCTGCCGCGCCCCCCAGTGCAAGGCTTTTCTCCTCCCACTTAGGGCAACTTGATGGTGCCTGTGCTCATCGGCTGCCCCCCAGGCAAGCGGCTGGCCTTCGACATCACCTACACACTGGAGTACAACCGCCTGCAGAACAAACACTACTTCGACTGCGTGCACATTGACCCCGAGATGCCCTGCTTCCTCTTCCGTGATAGTGCGTGTCCAGTCCCCTCGCCCCATTCCTTCACAGCCCTCTGTCCCCACCACTGGGCCCGCCTTCCCTCACTGCCCGTTCACTTCCTCACTCACCCTCTGCTCTTCCCCTTGGTCTTCTCATCTCTCCTTCCTCCCCTTCTCCACCCTCCACTTCTCGGGCCAAGCTAATTTTTTCTCCTCCTGGCCTCCCTCCCACCCCATAGTCTTCTACCCTTTCTTCTTGATCCAAGACTTGGTGACGGGAGATTCAGGCAGTTTTCAGGGCAGGTAAAGATGTGGCCAAGCCAGTGACTGACGGGAGTTTGGAGGGTGGGAATGGATGGGGGGGAGCGTGCGGAGTGGGTGGTAGAGGGGATGCAGGACTCTGGACCCTGAAGTCAGTGCACATGCTCCTCTGCACCCGGCAGCTACGTGCTCAAGGTGGTAGGCGGTGGGCCCACAATGGACACCATCAAGGAATACAGCGAGGAGGAGATTTACCGCTTCAACAGCCCCTTGGACAAGTAATGCCTGCAGGACCCTGCCCACAATCCACCCTCTTTCCTCTGCAGGCCTCTCCTGCTTCCCAGCCACAGACCTCACCCTCGCTGCAAGCACCACTCACCTGGTATCTCAAGGCTCCTAGGATGGCACAAATGCTTGCCCGCCCATGCTGCCAGGCCCCGCCCTCCTAAGGCTCCCCCTGCCCCTTCCTTCCACTGCTCATACTGCTGGCCTCTCTCTGCACCTGCAGCGGTGGTCCCCCCCACCCCCCCACTGAGGTTACCTGGTCCTGCACAGGACTAACAGCCTCATCTGGACCACCAAGAACACAACGACCACCAAGGACTCGGCCTTCAACATCATGACCCATCAGAGTCTGGGCATCGAGTGAGTGCATGGCCTGACTGCTGGTCCCTTATCCCCCGCCTATCCACAGTCTGTCTGGGCTGTTGTCCTTTCTGCCTCTGGGAGACCTCTTGATCTTCAAGCCAGACTGACTGCCTTCATGTTCCTCAAATGGGGCCGACTCCTTGTCCGCAGTGCTGGTCCCTCTTATTCTTTCTTCAGGCCTTAGTTCAGATGCCCCTTCATCCAGGGGACTTTTCTGACTGTTCTAAATGGGACCTGGGTTCCCACGTCCTCCTGTGCTTTGCCTCTTCTCACCCTCACCTCTCTGCTTGTGCCTCCCCCATCCCAACCTGCCCCTCTGGGCTGTCACTGTCTCTTGTGGGGTCTGTCCCCCTTATAGGTCCAGGTCCTGATAGACTAAACATAGTATTTATTGACTGAGACAGTGAAGGAATTCATTCATTCATTCATGGTAGGCATTTATTGACATTTGAATGGAGGTCCTGATGAATGAATAAAACAATGGAGGAACAAATTAATATATAGGGGCTCAATAAATATTTTTGATTCAGTGACAGGAAGAAAATGATACCATGAGCAAATGAAGGAAGTGAATGAATGAATGGAGCAACCAACTTGTACCTAGTCAGTAGTCAACCTATATTTATTGAATAAATGAATAAAGGAAAGCATAAATGAATGGAGATACGACTTTGTACCTAGTAGGACCTCAAGGTATATTTGTGGGCTGAAGGAATGAAGGCAGCAAGGAATAAATGAGGAGTTAGCACATGATAGATATACCCTCCATAATCTAGACGATTGCATTGTAATGGAGGAATTGACAGATGGAGATGTTAAGGCTGGAGGACGTGATTGAGTAAACAGCCTGTCACAGGGTAGGCGTGGAGTCAGGCTTATTGGATGAATAAATGAAGGAGCGAATCAGGGAAGAAGGGACGAGGTTACATCTAGTTGGCTCTCACCCAGAGTTTGTGGGCTGGAGGGAGAGATCAGAGGTTGGCACATGCTAGGCATGATTTGTAGCATGTTGCCTGAACTTGGGTCCCCAGGTGGCTGTGTCTGGAGAACTCCCCATGCCATGACACCATTCCTCATACCATCTTTGCCCCCGAATTCTTCTTCAAGGTGTTGGTGAGCAACAGGTGAGCCAGGCATGTGGCCCAGGTAGAGTTGGGGGCTTCCTATGGGGTGCCCCACTCCTCCCCCAATGCTGAACCCCATCCCTCCCCCCAGAGGTGTGGACAAGAGCACATACTGTGACCACCAGCTCATCTTCCTGTTGCATATCCATGGGCTCCCACTCAGTGCCAAGCGGGCCCTCTTAATCCTCATGGTGAGTGGCTGCCCAGGAGCTGCCCTGTTAGGAGAATGGGGCTCTCAGGCTGCCTACCCATGTCTGTTGTGTGGTGTCTGCAGGTGTCATCCAGTGTGTTTATCGGCCTGGTGATCCTCTACATCATCTTCTGCCTCCTACTGCCTGTTATGGTGAAGGCCTGCAACATCCTCCGTTGGAAGATCAACAACATCATCACATCAGAGTCATACTACACCTACACGTCCTCTTCTAGAGTCTTTAGCGGGACATCTGGGACCAAATCCAAGGGCACCTCCAGCGTCAGCTCCAGTGTCAGTTCCAAAGTGGCAGAGAGGAACCAGGAGGCCCCTGAGGAAACCTCGAAGAAGCAGTCTATTACCTGAGCCTCTTGCCTGCCCCAACCCCCACCAGTGTGCCCCCCTCACTTCCTGGGCCATCTTGGAAAAGCAATTATCACTCGTCCTAGGCTTTTTTTGTTTTGTTTTGCTTCAATTTTCATTGCTCCTTCAGACCTAAATCCTCATTTCAGGACCAGCTGTGGGCCCTTGTAAGGGCTCACGTTCAGTTAGTTTGTACCACACAGCCATACAGGTCATTAAAATCAAAATCCTTCTGTGCTAACTGGTAAATAGCAGCTTCTCTGTGTGCCTAACAACTCCGCCCCTCCCCGGGCTGCCCCCAACCTCCCCTCAGTTCAGCAAGGTCTTCCATGACCCAGGCCCATCTCTGTGGCCTGCAGTACGTTCTGATTGTTCAGTGCCCAGGTTTAGTACCAATCATTAAGTATTTTGATTTTCAATACCTATCTAGTGTCTAGCTTAAGGACAGGACTTTGGAGAGGTTAGGATTTTTGTTTTAGTTGCAAGTAACAAAAATTTCACTTAAATGGCCTACATAGAAATGGTAATTGTATGGGCTTTAATTGGGGTTCAGGTACAGTTTGATCCAGAAGTCTTCAATGTCTATAGGGGTCTGGCTCCATTTCTCTGTAGCTTTTCCTGACCTGCCCTCCTCTGCGTGTGGTCTCTAACCTCAGGCCAGCCCCCTTCAAGATCTGAGGTCCACATATCTTATTGTCCAGAGAAAGAAGGGGCTGGAGTCCAACATTCCCAAGCACGTCCTATCAGTCACTCTGATTGGATGGGGATGGGTCCTGAGCTCACCATTTTATTACTCACACTGCCAGAGGTTTAAGCAAATTGAGCCCAGCCCTGGAGCTGAGGAAAGGAAAATGTGCTGTCAAGAAGGCAAAAATCTGGGCGCCTGGGTGGCTCAGTTGGTTAAGCGACTGCCTTCGGCTCAGGTCATGATCCTGGAGTCCCGGGATCGAGTCCTGCGTCGGGCTCCCTGCTCGGCAGGGAGTCTGCTTCTCCCTCTGACCCTCCCCCCTCTCATGCTCTCTGTCTCTCTCTCTGTCTCTCTCTCTGTCTCAAATAAATAAATAAATAAAATCTTTTAAAAAAAAAAAAGACAAAAAAAAAAGACTTAAAAAAAAAAAAAAGAAGGCAAAAATCTGAAAGGCAAAAACAAAACAAAACAAAATACCCCCCCCCACACACACACAAACACACCTTGTACTCTACCCACTCTCCACCTAATAAGCTCAACACCAGTCCCTCAGCAGAGATCTTGGGTGAAGTGACTATGGAGGTTCTGTGACCACTCTCTTCTACTCCCCTACTCTGGGAGTAGAGGCCCAGGGGACACATACTCTGAGGGGACATCAGGGCAGACAGCTGGACCAGCTTGTCCATGATGAGATAGCAAAGCTCCAGAGCAGGCAAGGGCGCTGAGGTCATGTTTTGGAGCTTGGAAATTATCAGAAGAGTACTCAGAGCTGAGAGGCCAAAGGACATGGTTAGATGTAGAAAGGTGCTCCTGAGGAGGACAGCTCAGGGCTGGAGGCAGAGATCCCAGGGAGGCAGGAGGCCAGAGATCTGGACAGACGAGGATGGGGCTAGACCAAAGCCTACTGTAGGGAGGGGAGGAGGCAGCAGGTGGGAGAGATGCTCAGGAGGCCTAGTGAACAGACCATGGGGCTGGAGGACCATGAAGGGAATGGGAGCAAAGGAGACATTTAGGAAAAGGTCCAGGGCTGGGGTGCCTGGGTGGGTCACTTGGTTGAGCATCCAACTCTTGATCTCAGCCCAGGTCTTGATCTCATGGTCATGAGTTTGAGCCCTGCATTGGGCTCCACGCTGCGCATGGAGCCTACTTAAAAAAAGAAAAGAAAATGTCCAGGGCTCTGCCATGAAGACTGAGGGACAAAGAGGCTGTCCCTAAGATGACCAGGGAGAGGAGAAGGTTTTGGGGACAGACTGAGGCCTTTGGGGTCACGGCAGGTGTGGGAGGTCTGAGAGACTTCTGGAGGAGGCCATCCAAGAGGCTGCAGGAATGTCAGATCTGGGGCTCAGGAGGGAGGTCAGGGATGGTCAAGCCACAGGGCACAATAATCAGCAGTAAAGACTCATCAACAATATTAACTGCACTGATGCAAATAAGGAAAATGTGATAATATCATGTTTTGTCCTTAGTCCGTTCAGGCTGCCACCCAGGCGCCCCTGATCTATCTCTTCTTTATGGAAATAAAAATGATTATAAGAGCATGTTATGAACAACTGTACAGCAACGAATGGAATAACCTAGATGAAATGAAAAATTTCTAAAAAATATAAAAACTACCAAAACTGACTCAAGAAGAAATAGAAAGGGACACCTGGATGGTTCAGTTGGTTAAGCGTCTGCCTTCAGCTCAGGTCACGATCCCAGGGCCCTGGGATCGAGCCCTGCATCGGGCTCCCTGCTCCGCAGGAAGACACTTTTCCCTCTCCCACTCCCCCCGCTTGTGCTCTCTCTCTCTCTCTCTGTCAAATAAATAAATAAAATCTTAAAAAAAAAAGAAAAAAAACAGGTGAAAATCTTGACCTTTGATTTGGCAATGATTTCCTAAGTATGATACTAAAAGTCCATGCAACAAAAGAAAAAGCAGACAAATTGAACCTCATCAAAATTAAAAACTTTTCTGAATCAAAGAGAGTGAAAAGACAACCCATAGAAGGGGAGAAAATATTTGTAAATTGTATGTCTGATAAAGACTAATATCTAGGGGCGTCTGGGTGGCTCAGTCGTTAAACGTCTGCCTTCGGCTCAGGTCATGATCCCAGGGTCCTGGGATTGAGCCCCACATCGGGCTCTCTGCTCAGCGGGAAGCCTGCTTCTCCCTCTCCCACTCCCCCTGCTTGTGTTCCCTCTCTCACTATCTCTCTCTGTCAAATAAATAAATAAATAAAATCTTAAAAAAAAAAAAAAAGACTCATCTAGAGGGGCGCCCGAGTGGCTCAGCTGGTTAAGCGTCTCTTGATTTCAGCTCATGTCATGATCTCAGGGTTGTGAGATCGAACCCAGTGTCTGGCTCCATGCTCAGTGCAGTCTGCTTGAGATTCTCTCTCCCTCTCCCTCTGCCCCTTCCGCTCATGATCTCTTTCTCTCTCTCTCTCAAATAAATAAATATTTTTTAAAAGACTAATATCTAGAATAAAAAGAACTTCTACAACTCAACAACAAAAAACCCACGAACAACCCAATTTAAAAATGAACAAAAGACTTAAATGGACGTTTCTCTGAAGATATATAAATGGCCAATAGGCACATGAAAAGATGTCTAACATCAGTAGTTATCAGGGAAATGCATATCAAAACCATAGTGAGAGTTGGGGTACCTGGCTGGCTCAGTGGGTAGAGTATGTGACTCTTGATTTCGGGGTCACAAGTTCAAGCCCCATGTTGGGTGTGGAGCTTACTTAAAAATAAAATCTTAAGGGGCACCTGGGTGGCGCAGTCAGTTGAGTGTATGACTCTTGGTTTTGGCTCAGGTCATGATCTCAGGGTCATGGGTTGGAGCCCCCGGTAGGACCCTGCGCTCAGGGTGGAGCCTGCTTGAGACTTTCTGTCCTCTCCCTCTGTCCCTCTCCCACCTCTCTCTGTCTCTCTCTCTCTGTCTCTCTAAAATAAACAAATCTTTAAAATAAAAAAATAAATATTAAAAAAAAACCATAGTGATATATCTCATCATACCTATTAGGATGTCTATAATAATTTAAATAACAGCAACAGGGCGCCTGGGTGGCTCAGTTGGTTAAGCGACTGCCTTCGGCTCAGGTCATGATCCTGGAGTCCCTGGATCGAGTCCCGCATCAGGCTCCCTGCTCGGCAGGGAGTCTACTTTGTCCTCTGCCCCTAGCCCCTCTCATGTGTTCTCTCTGTCTCAAATAAATAAAATCTTTAAAAAAATAAAAAAATAAATAAATAACAGCAACAGATAGAACAAGTGTTGGCAATGATGTGGAGAAATTGGAACACATATATGTTGCTAGTTGGAAAGTAAAATGGTTCAGCTGCTGTGGAAAATAGTTTGGTGGTTCCTCAAAAAGTTAAACATAGAATTACCATATCCAGCAGTTCCATTGCTAGGTTTATTACCCAAAAGAATTGAAAACATGTTCTCAAACACGTTTTGTTTTTTTTTTTTAAAGATTTTATTTATTTGTTTGAAAGAGAGAGACACAGCGAGAGAGGGAACACAAGCAGGGGGAGTGGGAGAGGGAGAAGCAGGCCTCCTGCCCAGCAGGGAGCCTGATGTGGGGCTCGATGTGGGGCTTGATGTGGGGCTTGATCCCAGGACCTGGAGATCATGACCCCAGTGGAAGGCAGACCCTTAACGACTGAGCCACCCAGGCGCCCCAAACATGTTTGCTTTTTAAAAAATACGTGTAGCACGATTCAGTTTTTGTTTTAAAACTTTTAAAAATAACACTGTTAACTAACCGGAATTGAAATAAAAACTTCTAAAAAAAACTTTTTAAAAACACAGGTGATTTTACATATCCATTTATTCACTCATTCAACAAATATTCATTGACTGTGTACCACATGCTGGGAATACATAAATAAAGAACACCGATAAATATCCCTGCTTTTGTGGAGCTGATATTCTAAAGAAGACCAAAGAGTTGGGTTTGAGAAAAGGGGAGATGTTGAATAGGCAGGTGTGATATATACGGAGGAATCAGGAGTAGGGATAAAAAAATGGGAATCTTCCGCGTATATGTGGTATTTAAGGCATAAGACTGGATGATTTTTTTTAAAGTTTGTGCATATTTTTATAAGTCTGGAGAAAATGTGGAAGGATGCACTGAGAGACTAGAGAGAAAGACCTCGGTTCAAATCTCAGCGGTTAGTCTCTGGGAAGGTTACCCAGCCTTTCAAAGCCTGTTTATAAGATGGAAATAATGGCACAGCTCCACTACCGCACCCTCCTGGCTTAAATGAACCTTCTGTGAAGGTGGAACCTCGAAGACAGAAACGTAGCGTCACGAACGCCTGGGCTGAAGCCATGGCAGCCATATTGGTTACGGGAGGCGGGGAAGCGTTGCTATCGCTGCCATTTTCAGTTAGGGCAGGAGGGGACTTCCGGTCACCATCTTGAATGACAGCCGAGGCGGAGCTCTGACTGACATGTTCATTAAGGGCCGGACTCCAAGGGCACCTCCCCGAGAGCGCCTGAACGCGAACCGCGGCGGGCGGAGGTCGGCAGCCGTAGCCCCGCCCCCGGCGTTGGGCTCCACCTCCCGGCCCCACTTCCGCCGGGTGAGCGTCTGTAGGCGACGCTGCCGTAAATCGGGCCGGAGGTTTGCCGCATCACGGAAGATGGCGGCCACGGCGGTGAACGGGGCGCCGGGCACCTCGAACTCGGGCCCTGCGGCGGCCTCGGGTGCAGTCCTGCAGGTCGCAGCCGGCATGTACGAGCAACTTAAGGGCGAATGGAACCGTAAAAGCCCCAATCTTAGCAAGTGCGGTGAAGAGCTGGGCCGTCTCAAGGTAGGGTTCGGCGGGGCCGCTACGAGGGGTCTAGACCTAGCCGAGTTCCCGGTCACGGGCGACACCAGGACGTGTTGGGGGATCCAGTAGGGTGAAGGATTCGGAACTGCCAAAGTGCGAGCTTAGAGGGGTGAAGAAGAGGTTTGAAACGGATCAAACACGGCCTGACAGTGTGGGGGCGGTGGGGGAGGCAGTGATGGAAATGTTCAGGCATAACGAAGTGAGGGGTTAAAGTTTTGGTGTTTGGAGGCTTAGCTGGCTGGAGCGGCAGGATGGGAGTATTGGGAGTTTTTCTGATGGTGGGTTCTTGAGGAGAGCAAGTGGGGAATGAGGACCGGACAGGGTTTTGAAAGAAGGCTGAGATGAAGGGTTGTGTGGTTAGAGCAGACCCAAGTCAGGGTCTGAGAGATCTGGGACTTAGGGACGCATCTGGGGAGAGGTGGGGCAGCCGAGTTTTGAGGACAGAACTGAATCTAGAAAAAATGTTCTTATAGGAGAGGACCAGAATGGTGCTCAGGGTGCTTCAGACCGAGCGTGTTTGGGAAAGAGTACAAGTATTGTGGGCTGAACTAAGCCTCTGAATGGGGTGTGTCTGATAAGTGATGTGTGGGCTGGACGATGGGGGGATGTTAGCTCCCTTCCCTCCCAGGTGTAGATTTGGGGGTGGATGGGAGGTGTAGCTGGGCCCAACCCAGTGGATTGTGGAAAAGGCCTGCCAAGAACTAAAGGTGCTAGCGTGCCACCCCCCCCCCCCTTGATTCCATTGAGTCAGGCATGGAGGGTGTTTCCTGTTTCCCCAGTGGGGCTATTAATAATTGTAACATGAGGTCATCCTAAATGGGCACTCAGTGTGCCCAGGCCCTTTTCTGAGTGCTTTCTGAGGATTGACTCCTTTAAAACACAACAGCCTTGAGTCAGGGATGATGATTAGTTCTGTTTCCTAGGTGGGAAAACTAAGGCTTAGCAAAAGTAAGTAACCTGTACTTGAGGTCCCATCTTTCTTTCCTTCCTTCTCTGCTCTCCTTGTCAGCTGGTTCTGCTGGAGCTCAACTTCTTGCCAACCACAGGGACCAAGCTGACCAAACAGCAGCTCATTCTGGCCCGTGAGTGTCATTGGGGCAGGTGGGAATGATGGGCTGAGGGTGATTGGAGGAATGGCAGGAGTGGTGGTCAGGAGAGGGACTCAGGCACCTCCTGAGAACCTGCCCTGTCACCCACAGGTGACATTCTGGAGATTGGGGCCCAGTGGAGCATCCTGCGCAAGGACATTCCTTCCTTCGAGCGCTACATGGCCCAGCTCAAATGCTACTACTTCGATTACAAGTGAGGATGGGTCCTGCCCCTTATTGGGTGTGGGCAGGGGGTTATATGGTTGCTTTTTTTTTTTTTTTATCACTGGTTCTCCAGCCACTCAGGTCATCTTTGTACACCTGGGAACTCCTTGTTTGTCTAGCTCTGTCCCCAGAGGCTTCGGGGGGTGGGGGGTTGCCCTGGAGGTCCTTATCCTGGGATTGTACCAGATTCATCCCCCATGGCAGCCAGTAGAATCTTTGTGACACTAAAATTTGACCAATGTCGATACCCTGGTTGGAACCTGTCATGGCTCTCCATAGCTCTCAGGCTCTAGACCAGACTTTCCTGCAGCCTCCAATGCTCTATCAGCCATGACCCCTCTGACTCTGCCTCCCCTATCTCAGCCCAGTCTCTCCCACTGAACTCCTAAAGTCAGAGGTGTCTTGGTCACGGCTGCATTCCAGTACTGCCTAGCATGAGGCTGGGCCCAGAGCAGGGATTCACTGAATATGTGTTGAATATAAAACTTAATGTTTTTTAACTCAGTGGTGCCTGCATGGATTAATGATTAAGAATTTGACATCAGAAGTCAGACAAACCTGAGTTTTTTTTTTGTTTTTAAGATTTTTAATTTATTTTTTGACAGAGAGATAGCGAGAGAGGGAACACAAGCAGGGGGAGTGGGAGAGGGAGAAGCAGGCTTCCCACCGAGCAGGGAGCCCGATGCGGGGCTCGATCCCAGGGCCCTGGGATCACGACCTGAGCTGAAGGCAGTTGCTTAACGACTGAGCCACCCAGGCGCCCCCAAACCTGAGTTTGAAACTAATTTTGCCGCTTCCTGATTATGTGGTCTTGGGCAAATGACTTCACCTCCCTATGCCTCAGTTTCCCTCTTAAAGTAAGGGTGATAACTCTTAATATCATAATCATAGCTAACGCACAATATTTATTTGAGTCAAGTACTGTTCCGATCACTGTACCTGGGTTAAGTCATTTAATTCACTTAACCCTTATTCCCTTGACCTACCTTCTATGAGATGGACGCTGTGGTAGTACTCATTTTACAGTTGGGGAAACTGAGGCTGAGTCACTTTACTGAAGTGAGGTTACCTGCTTGGACCCATATGACTTGTGACTTCTTCATACCTCTCTGGGCTTCAGTTTCATTTGAAAACCCAAGACCCGATACTTCTGCAAGGAGACAGCACAGGGCAGACATCAGGGTCCCTGGAGCCTGGAGTGGGGGGCTCGTAGGTACTTAAGCCCTCCTTACAGTTGGTTCTCCCACCCTGGTCCACAGGGAGCAGCTCCCCGAGTCAGCCTACATGCACCAGCTCTTGGGCCTCAACCTCCTCTTCCTGCTGTCCCAGAACCGGGTGGCTGAGTTCCACACAGAGTTGGAGCGGCTGCCTGCCAAAGACATCCAGACCAATGTATACATCAAGCATCCTGTGTCCCTGGAGCAAGTGAGGCTGGGGAAGGGGGTGGGGGGATCTGAAGGGGGTGGTGCAGGTGCAGACATTAGGGAAGATTTCCTGGAGGAGTGGGCAGGAGTCACCTTTTAGTCCAGGGACTCATTTGCTCATTTGTCCAACAGCTGTTGAGCCCCAGCCATGTGCCATGTGGTTGGTTTTCAGACTGTACTGCAAACAAAACAGATTAAAATCCGGGATCTGGTGGGCATGACATTCAGATGAGGAAGTAGACAGTAAACAAAAAGATTAATCTATGTGGTCTGTAAGAAGTTAAGTGCTATGGAGTAAAACAAAGGTAAGGAGGGTGGAGAGTCGGGGCAGGGGTGAATTTTTTTGTAGGGTGGTCAGGGAAGGCCTTGCTGAAAAGGTGAGATTTGAGAAAGATTGGAAAGGGGTGACGAACCCAACCATGTGGACATCTGGGGGGATGTGAACCGAGGAGAGGGAGCAGCCAGTCCAAGCAAGGTCCCAAGGCAGAAACATGCCTGGTGTGGCTGAGGGTAAGCAAAGACGACAGTATTTCTACAACAAGGGGAGCATGGTCAGGGAAGAGCTTTACTACTGAAGGTTAGGAAGTAGTTCCTAGAGCTGACGTCTCCTGGGAGGATTTTGCTGTGATGAGAAAATGGGAGAGAGCATTTATGGCCCGCAGCACAACTCAAGCAAAGGAGTGGAGGAATGAGCTCAGGGGTGAATCCCGCTCTGTCTCCCTCCTGTGATTGGAGAATAGATAAGATAATTAGCTATCAGCCCAGGGCAGTTTGGAGAAAGAATGTCCGTGCTTGTATGTGTACAAACCAGGGAGGGCTTCCTGGAAGAGAAGGTGCTCAGTCTGCCTGGGGAATGCATGACTGTACGCTAAGGGTGTTATAGCAGAGGGGATTATGGAGGCACTGGGAATGTGGTGAGGCCTCAGCGGATAGGCCCGTATGCTACCTGCTCCTCATCCTCTTTTCCTCCCCACCCCTGGCCTCTACAGTACCTGATGGAGGGCAGCTATAACAAGGTGTTCCTGGCCAAAGGCAACATCCCTGCTGAGAGCTATACCTTCTTCATTGACATCCTGCTTGACACTATCAGGTGTGTGTGGGGGTGGTGGGCAGGTCCTGTGGGGTTCAGAAACAGCTTGGACTCTGGAGTCAGACAGCCCTGAGTTGAATCTCATTCTGGTCACTTGTGGTCTGGAGAGGTTGGGCACATCAGTTCTCCTTTTCTATGAACTGCAACTTGTCATGAGATTGTGGAAAACAGGCCACATCTCACTGTGGGCCGCTTATCTGTGTGCCCATATGATCCGGACTTGGGCTTGGCACCCAGACAGCGCTCAGCAGGCAAGACCCAAGCTGCCTGGCTTAGAAGTGCTCCAGTCTCACCTCAGGTCTCCTAAACTGCGGAACTCTCAGTTTCCTCTTCCTTAGAATGGGGCCATTAAGTCCCGCTCGCTCCATGCACTAGTGACATGACATGGGCGGGTGGGCGTGACATTTACACATCCCTTGAAGAATAAAAGGGTCCAGGTGGTGGCAGAGCCAGTTCATGGAGGCAAAGTGCCAGACTGAGATGGGTTTCCATTTCTTGGATGGCAAAACCAAGCTCAGAGTTGTGGTGGAAGTGAAGAGAGGTAGCTTAGTGAGTTTAGATTACTTTTAAATGAGAAATATTTGGCTCTCCAAAATGAACAGGGAGTAGTATATAACGAGTGTCTGTATACCTGCCTCTGGGTCTAAGAGATAAAATACATCAGAAATGGGTGCACACTCCCTGTTACTAACTTTTCCCTGGAGCTGACTCCTTCATTTTCAGTGACTTGATCCTTTGATGTTTTTCTACTTCATTATTGATCTTGATGCCTCTTAACGGGTGGCAAGGAACCCTCCCAGGATCAGATCTAGAAATGGGGCACAGCATCCTTGTGTGTGGGGAGAGGGGGTTTCTGTAAAGAGATGCCCTCATGTGAATCCCAGGCTGGGTTTCAGACAGCCTGAAGTCCTCGTGCTGGGAGTGGGATTCAGAGATTGAGCCCAGGAGTCTCAGAGATCTGGACCCTGCTGTTGCCCTGGCTTTGCAACTCTGGTCAAGCTCCTCCCCCTCTCCAAGCCTGGATGAAACAGGGCAGGAAGCATGTTCCAGCTGTCAGTGCTGAACTGTCAGCTCACACGTGTCAGGCCTGGGAGGACAAGGCCTGAAGAGTTGTCTGTGCTCAGTAATGAGAGCCTTGTCTTTCCTCAGGGATGAGATTGCTGGGTGCATCGAGAAGGCCTATGAGAAAATCCTTTTCACTGAGGCCACCCGGATCCTCTTCTTCAACACACCCAAAAAGATGACCGACTACGCCAAGAAGGTGGCTGGGGCGAGGGGCTGTGGGGCCAGGGGTGCACTCATAGTAGGGTTTGCTGGAGGAACTCTGGAGCAAAACTGCACATGTTTAAATCCAGGTGTGAGACCACAGGCAGGTTGCTGAACTTCTCTGAGCTTCAGTTTCCCGATCTGTAGAGTGGGGCTAGAATTTAACATGTGGGATGAGCTTAGCTTAGCATGAGCACCTGGCAGGAGGTGGAGGTGGACACTGACGCTCAGTACCTGTTGAGCTATTGTCCCTAACAGAACTCCTTAGAGTTTTTCTCCGCGAGCCTTTGCCTCATTTGGCCTGGGCTGTTTATGCAGGAGTAGTGCCCTTGGAGACATTGGGGCATGGGGTGTAGGGACCCCGGTAACCGAGGGGGGTCAAGGCCAGACTGGAAGAGGTGAAATCGAACTTGAGCTATGGTGACAGCTGATATTTAGTGATCATTTACATGGCCAGACACTTCTCAGCACTTTAGAGGTGTTGATTCACTGAATCCTCATAGCAGACCCAGAGAGGTGTGTGATGAGAGTCCTTGTCTCAAACACGGAGAAACGGGGGCACAGAGAGGTGAAGTTACTGGTCTAGAGTTGTGTGGGTAGAGTAGGGGTGGCGAGGAACGGGAGCCAGGGCCCGCATGGGCACGTGCTGGCTCTGTGGGGTGGTGGGGGGTAGCCTGTGCAATCACCCCACCCATCTGTCACCCTTCCCTTCCTGCAGCGAGGGTGGGTTCTGGGCCTCAACAACTACTACAGCTTTGCCAGCCAGCAGCAGAAGCCAGAAGATACCACCATCCCCTCCACGGAACTGGCCAAGCAGGTCATCGAGTATGCCCGGCAGCTGGAGATGATCGTCTGAGCCCGCCCGGCACCGGGCTGGGGCCGGGCTTGCCGTATTTAAAGCAGTGGCAGGGCAGGGCTTCCTCCAATAAAGGTGGATTGACATTCTCTCTTCTAGGCCCTTGTCTCCCCGGGTGGAATGGTGGGGAGACAAGTTCCTTATCTCGGGAGAACTTAGAAGTTTGGGGGCCCTCTGGGAGCTGAGATAACCCTCTGTTGGGTCAGCTTCTGTCCAGCGGCCATGGCTGAAGCTGTCCGATGGCAGCCCATCACAGGGGCCCAGTGGCAGGGGAGCCCAGGTTCCAGGTAGAGGGGATGCAGCCCGCTGTGGACCCACAGGAATGCCAGGCCAAGGCACGAGTTTTTCAGCGAAGGGGGTGACGCGTCACAATTTTTAAGATGTTTGCAATTAAACCAGTTTGTTCAATGACGTGCGAAATGGAACCCGTCTGTGGGCTACCAGTTTGAGACCTCTGTGGAACGATAGGTGTGGGCGCCGGCATGGGCTTGCCCTGGTTCCCACCCTTCCTGAGCCAGTGCTGTAACTTAGGACCTTCCAAACCGCCCCAGCCTGTGTTTCCTGCCTTGAAGTTCTCGAGAAGGTATTTAAGGCAGAGTCCAAATCTGGCTGAGCCATCTGTGGGATGTGGGATTTTCAACAAAGTCTCCCAGAGTCCGTTTCCACATCTGTATAAAGGGAGTGATTAACTCCTGCTTTCCAAAGGGATTTGTGCTCAGCATTTCAGTTTGCGATCAGACTGGCTCAGAAATGGGGTTGATGGTATCAAGGGTAATGAGACTGTCTTAGCCCCGGGCCCATCAGTCCAGGTGCCGGATGCCTGGAACCTCCGTCACTGCTGTTCTGGGTCCAGTCTCCTTCACTGTTTCTAAGATGTGCTTTCATGGAGGCCTCTGCCCTAGCCCACTCCATCCCTTCAACCCTGAGCAAGTGACTGACAGGTAGCTAGACATCTGGATGGTTATTTTATTGTCAAGGAGTGGGAGGCAGAGGGCACTGAGCAGACTGCACTCAGTTGGAATGCGTGGCCTGCAAGTCGTAGTGCTCCAGCCCGGCCACCAGGGAGCCAGCCAGCTTGATGGTGGCAACCCAGGGTGGCTCGCTCAGGTGGTTGGTGGGCGTGCTCAGCCTAGAGGGAGGGTAGAATCAGTAGGGCCTGGTCATGTGGCCAAGCCCTTTCCCCTTCTAGGTTTCACTTTCCACATCTATATGAGGGGCCATGTATGAATATCACAAAGGCAGTCTAGGGCAGGGCTGTATCCACTTAAATTAGGAAAGGGGGCTAAGGGTTGGTGATAGTGTTGGTGTCCTGTACTCCCTTCTCCCCCACCTGGCCCATCCCTACTGAACCCCCCCGAGGAGTCCAGAGCAGAGGGTCTCTCTGTGATTCAGAATCTTTGGGGGCCAAGGTCCTATAATCCTGGTGACCGTGTGTGTGTGTGTGTGTGTGTGTGTGTGTGTGTGTGTAGGGGGAGGGTGTAACTGAAAGATATCTCCTCTGGGCCTGAGGACTCGGGAATAGCCTCTGGAATAGCCTCTGCAGTACAGGGACTGGGACATCAGTGCCCTCTGGCTGCCAGAGTCAGAAGTTGCCATAGGCTGGAGGGGTCAGGGACTTCTTTGGAGGTATGCATTCATCTCTGCTCCTATCCCTGAAAAGCTTGCGACATGGTCCTTGGTGCCCTCGGACAGGGTTAAGGCTGTGAATAGGGTCAGTCCAGCTGGCACCAGCTTCCCTCCCTGATGACTCCAGAAGGTCACCGGGCCAACAGTCAGCTTGGAGATCTGTATACCAAGAGGCTGGACCAAGGTGTTCCCTGTCCCTGGTCAGGGGTCAGTATGGTGTCAAGTTTTCTCTTAGTCCTGAAGGATTGGAGCTCAGCTGGGTTTGAGATACAGCCAAGGAAGGAGTCGGGGGTCAGCTGGGGTCAGGACTCCAAAGGGCTGAATGGGACTCTATCTGGGAAGGTTGGGTTCAGGACTTCAAGGGGTATGCCCTCCCCTCCCTACTCCCCGACGACCTTCCCTCACCAGGCAGACACGTTGCGTGGCAGACGGCGGTGACGTGGCTGGTGGCGGCAGTAACACTTGTAGGGACAAGAGTTAAGCACCTGGAAGGGCGGCCAGTGGCGTGTGGTGCCCGAGTTAGCCATTCCCGCTGGAGGCGTCCCGCCGCCACCACCCCCTCCACCACCACTGTCGGTCACGGTAGCTGCAGTACGTTCGCGAGGACCATCTCCGGGTGCGCCATCCTCACGGGTCGCGCCTCGGGCTGCGCGGGGACCCTTGCTCCTGCGCGTGCGGGACTTGATGGGCGCGGGCGCAGGGAGCGTTGGCTCCGCTATGGTGGGAGCTGGAGCCGGGGATGGGGCCGGGGCCGGGGCCGGGGCCGGGGCCGGGGATGGGGCCGGGGCCGGGGCCGGGGCCGGGGTCGGGGCCGGGGCCGGGGATGGGGCCGGGGCCGGGGCCGGGGCCGGGGCCTGGCCGGCAGCCAAGGCGAGGGGCAGAGTGGGAGCCCTGGCGGGAGCCAGAGGCGCCGCCTCCAAGTGGCCCGGGCGTGGGGTGGGAGGGCGGGCCACGGGCAGCGGCGTCGGCCGGAGCACGGGCGGCTGCGGTGTCGGCGGCGCCGCGGGAGGCGGCGTGGGTGGTGGCGTGGGCGGCGGCGGTGGTGGCACCTCCTGTGGGCCTCCCGGCCCCGGGCTCACAGGCTCGCCATTGGTGGGCGCCGGGAAGATGAACATAGGCGGCGCCAGCAGGGCCGGTGCAGGCCTCCGGGGCCCGGGAGCTGGGTGCGTCTGCCCTGGCGGAGGCGGTGGGGAGCCCCAGGGCCCTGAGAGCGCGGCCGCCCGCCGTCGGGGCACCCCGACACCGCCGCCGGATCCATTGAAACGGAAGTGGCGTTCGGGGCCGTCGGGAGGGCTCACCCAGTCAAATTTGGGCTTCGAGCCTGGAAAGGTGGTGTACGGTGGCGGCGGAAGGGTCCTGACGTGGGACACAGACGCCGAGGGGCGTCCAGAACACCCCTCGCCGTCTCCATCACCGCCTTCTGCTTCCTGAGTCCCCCGAGGGACCTCTCTCGAGGGTCGAGCGGCCCCAGGGGCCAGGGGCCCCTGCTTCAGGACCTCAGCGTAAGAGATGGAACCCGAGGCAGCAGCGAAGAGTTCTCCGCCTCCGCCGCCCCCGAGCGAGGCTTTGGCCGCTAAGGAACTCGAGGCTGCCGGAGGGGCCAAAGTGGGCCCCGACTTGAAGGTGACTTTACACAGCAGACTCAAGCCGGACTCGGAGACCGTAGGCCGGGCCATTTCGCCCTCGCCCGCTTGGGGAGGCGCCCCTCTGCGGGCTCCAGCGGCCGTCTGGCCCTCGCTGCCGTACCCGACCTGGCTTTCTGGGGGGGGGGTGGCGGGTGTGGCCAGAGCAGGAATGATTCGGCGGTCCGGGGGCTGCCGGTCGGGAGGTGGCGGTGGTGGCAGCTTCCGCGGCTCCAAGGGCGGCTGAGTAGGGGATGGGGCCCCCGGGATAGAGTTGCGGTCCTCTCCGGTTAGTTGCCGGGGCGGCGGCGGCAGCGGACGGAGGCTCGGAGGATCGCCCTGGCCGCGATGGCTCGCCTCCAGCAGACCGCGGATCCGGGGCACCGGAGTGCCCGTGGGTTTTCGCCACTTAGACGGCGCGGGCAGCAGGGTCCCCACGGGGGGCGGGGGTGGCGTGGAGACCGCGGCCACAGCCGCCTCCTCTGAAAGGGGCGTCACTGGCGAGGGCAGTTGTAAGGTCAGGGGCAGGGGCGAGGTTGAGGCCTGGGGCTCCGGGGGTACCAGGATTCCCGGGGACGCGGAGCTGCCAGGGAACCAGACGCCCAGCCCGCGAGCCAGGCGCATGGCTGGGGAAGAGGGGGTCACCTCGGGCTCCACCAGGGACGTCCGGCGGGAGTCAGAGGAGCGGTCCGAGGCTTGCTCTTTTCGGGAGCTCCCGCCCGCGGACGGCTCCGACTGCACGTTCCCCATTTCTGACGGAGGTCGGGGACTGTGGTCAGAAAAACTTCCGCCAGTCAGGTTGCTAAAACTGTGGGGACTCCAAGAGGCTGGCTGTATTTGGTCCTACCCGTCCACCCCAGACCCGCCCCTGTGTTCCAAGATCCACCTAGGCACCAGTCGCTACCCGCATTCCTGTTTCCTGACTCTCGAAGCTCAAGCGTTCTTCCCCATCGCCCCAACCAACTACCGTCACACCTTCTTCCTCATGGCCCCATTCAGCTGCTGTTCAGACACTTAGGCTCCATTCTCTTAGTGTACTAAGGTTCTGTCCCTGTCCCCTCACCCTACCCAACTTGTCCCTCAAGTCACATCCCTACACTTTGACCAGGTCCCCGGTCTCTAGGCTCCAAGACGCAGGTCTTGCCCGCTTTCCTGTCAGTCACTCAGGCCACATCACTCATGATGATTGTGCTCAGGAGCCTGTAAGGCCTGCAAGGAGTTCAAACTTCTCCCTCAGTCTTCTAACCTGGCTCGGAGGCCCAGGCCCGCCCCTGCTCTCTGGTCCCGCCCCCGATTGTCGGTATCGGGCCTCAGCACCCGCCCCAGGTCTGGCCCCGCCTCCGCGGTATTCTTGTCTTGCTAACCCCTTCGTCCTCACCTCTAACCCTCCGATCCCTGTCTCTGTGTCGATCATTTGAGTCTCGCCCTCTTCCCAGGCAGCGTCAGATCTTCGGGCCTCACTCCTAAACTTTTCCGGCTCCTGGTCTACCAGCCGTCTTCAACACTCAGGCCCCACCCCTTTCTCCAACTCCGCCCTGGCCCCGCCTTCGCCCAGAGGTTCCCACTCACCGACTCCTCCAACCGACCAAAGTTCAGACCGCGGCCCCCTGGGCCCAGGGCAGGGCGGGGAACGGCCGTAGCAGAAAATAACCGAAAAGAACGGGAATGAAGCGGGTGATGGCAAGTGGGCGAGACAGCGAGGGCGGACCCCGAGATCTAGGCCCCGCCCCCGGGCTCGAGGCCCCGCCCTCCGGTGAGCCAGCTAAAGACCGGCCCCTTACGAACCTGGATCTCCCTTTGAAATATTCCGACGTCTTCTTCCCCGCCCCCAGGGCTTTAAGTCCTAGGCCCCACCGCTTTAGAAAGTTATCCTTAGCTCCTCCCCTTTATAAGTGCTCCGCCCCTCGCCGTTAGTCCCTCCCTCGAAGCTCCGCCCATTACGAACACTGCTACGTAGCTCCTCCCTTTCAGCTCTCTCATGGGCCCCGCCCAGAAGACAATTTACTTCTAAACTCCACCCTTTTAGGACCCCACAACGTCTCTTCTCAAGACCCTCTCCTTCCTCGGGCCTGCCTAGAAGGCCCATCCACCGCGGAGCCGCCCCTTCCATGACGCAAGCGCTTTTCCGCGCCCTCGGCTTCCTCACCGACTCTCCTTCCCAAGGCCCTCCGACCCCGCCCCCTTGCGAAGGCTCCCTTCTCGCCCCACCCCTTTTCGAACCCTATCAGGTACTCAGCTCCTCCCATTTAAAACCCAAAGCGAAGACCCTCACCTCTTTAGAACCCTGAGGCCAGGCCATGTCCCGGACCCTTCCCCACATCCTCAAGGATCAATGGCGCGGATGGGTGGGAAAGTGGGGGATCCTTTCTGGATCCTGTGAAAATGGGGGCTGGGGGGCTGTTCTCTGGAGCCAGTGACGGGCTCTAGGACCCAGCGGGCAAGTACGCCCGCCTCGCGCTTACCCCTCCCCCAAGCCGCCCCCTCCCCCTCCCCCATCTTCCAGGTTCCCCCTCCCTCCCCCGTCGCCCCGGCTCCCGGTGCCCGTCTCTAGCGCCGCCGGAGCCAGCGAGGGAGCCGGAGCGAACAGGAGGAGGAGGAGGAGGAGGAGGAGGAGGCCAAGTCGCCGCCGCTCGGAGCCCGGCCGGAGCCTCCCAGGCAGGTGCCAAGGGGGGCGAGGGGGCGGGGGCTGACAGACTGCCTGTCCTGGTGAGGGGGCGGCCTGCACCGCGCTGCGCCTCCTGCCCACCGGGGCGCCCCCCAGACCGCGGGTGGAAGGACATGGGGTTGGGGGCCCCTAAACTGCGCGGCAGCCATTTAGGGTACCAGTCTCCATTTGGGGGCCTGGACTTCTCCGAGGACGCCCCATTCATAAAATTCCGAACTGGACCCCCACCACTGAGGAACTCTGGGGACCACTCCCCCAGGGAAACAGATGTGTGGGGAGCATAGGGCATTCAGAAATCCCGGCGTCCCATCCCAGCTAGGCCCTGGGGGACCCCTGCCCTCTTTCTCTGCTTCACCTGTTGTCGGGGGGAGGCGGGCGGACAAAGGAAGCAGTATCACGTGACTGCTCATTCACAAAATCCCATCCCATTGAGAAAAGGGGGCTGGGGGCGCTGCGACCGCCCCTTCCCCTCCCGAAGGGCCGGGGAAAACCGGCAGCCTGCAGGTGGGGGAAGGGGCTAGAGCTCGTTGCCTGGGTCCCTAAGGTTGAGACTCCAGGGTCCCTGCGCTAGGTGGTAGTGAGGGGCTGGACGCTGATCCGGATTACTGGGCGGAGGGCTACGTCCCCTGAGCTGGGGGGCGGGGTAAGATGGTTCTGAAGGATGCTGGGGCGGGGAGGGGGAGGAGGAGGGATCAATTCTCCACCTCCCCTCAATGTCTCCCCCTTGCCTTCCTTGGGCTGGGACCTGAGGGAGCAGGCTTGATTTTTGTGAATGAAATGCACTCTGGTTGTGTCTCGGTCGCCCGTTTCTGGCTTCTTCTGCCTCCATCTCCCTTTCGGCCTCTCTCTGGCCATTTCTGGTTCTCTCCTTGCTCCCTGCCCATCTCCCGTTGCTGAGTGACTCAGTGAGCTTTGCATCCGGTCTCATTCATAAATCCGGGAAGGTGGGGGGGAGAGAGCCTGGGTTTCTCACCCAGCCAGTGGCCTGGGCGGCAGAGTGTGGAGGCAGTGTAGGGGGATCTGGAGCTGAGTTGATGGGCTCTAAGAAAATACATATGCGCAGGCACCCAGCTGTGAGGGGGAACGATGGGTGGGGCTGTGGGAATGTGCTGAGGGAAGAGGAGACTGGGTTGATAGGGGAAGAGCCGGAGGGGGAAGGGAGGTGGAAAACCGAGGCTATGGGGGTCAGGATGGGGCCGATGGGGAAAGGGAGGAAGGTGGGTATGGAGAGGAAAAGTAGATGTGGAGAAGCTAAGCCTGGGAGAAAAGAGATGGCATGAGGAAGAAAGAAGCCATGCTGGAAGAAGGTGGGCATGGGGCGGGGGGTGGGGAGAAGGCAGGGATGTCAGAGAAAGTGCAAATCGGTGCGTGAGGGTGCAGCGGATCCAGATGTGAGGGAGGAAGAGGGGGGGATGAGGGTTGGGGGAACTCTGAATGGGAGAGCAGCCCTGCAGCCCACTGACTGTGTTGCCCCCGCCTCCCCACGCCCTCCAGGTACATGGTTCCGGTCCGAGCCGTGGTGATGGCCCGAGATGACTCCAGTGGGGGCTGGCTGCCTGTGGGGGGCGGGGGCCTCAGCCAGGTGAGCGTTTGTCGGGTCCGAGGGGCCAGGCCCGAGGGGGGGGCCCGCCAGGGGCACTACGTCATCCACGGGGAGCGCCTTCGGGACCAGAAAGTGAGCCACCCTGGGGCGTGGGGGTAGGGTGGGGACGGGGGAAGGAAGGGGATGGGGCTGGGAGTGCAGAGATGAGGTCAGGTCATCTCTCAGCCCAGAAGCAACTCCCGGGCGTGGGATGTAGTTGGAACTGAGTATCTGTCTTTCGGAGAACAACTGGGAGTTTTGAGAATATCTGGGGTATCGAGCAGGTCCTGTCCACTGCCATTGCCCAATGGGCCATCACAGCAGCCTCCTCCCCATTCTTAACCCTGCTTCTGCTCCATCCCCCAACCTCGGTCTGTTCCACAGGGGCCCTGCTAACACCTGACTCAGATCATGTCCTTCCCTCTGCTCAGAACCCTCCTGGGGCTCCATCTTGCTCAGAGATCCTTACCAGGAGGCCCCACACCACTGGCCGCTGTCTGCTCTAAGTATATGGAGGCATTTGGCGGGGGACCATCTGGACGTGTCAAATAGGGTTTACAATCCTATATGTGGGTTCAGCAGGAATATTCTGGGCTGCTTGGCATGATTTGGAAGGCCAACGGTTGAAGTTTCAGCTGGGGGTGTAGTAGAAAGACTTGGATTGTTTGAAAAGGCTTGGGGGCTGGCTTGCATTTCAGAGCAGGGGTCAGAAGGAACAACGTAGGGGGATTTGAACTGGTGTGATTTGGATATGGTGATGTTGGGCAAGGATGTGAGGAAACGCCTAGGGTTGTTGGCCAGCATCTGAGGGGAAAGCTGTGGGAGTTTGATAAGAATTTTGGGGTAGCATTTTGGGAGATTGTTGGGGCATCAGAAGGAGATGGACAGTAATATTTTGAGCTGCTCAGTAAAGTTTGGGGCATATTATTGAGTCAGAAGGAGGGACATGGGGTTATCAGAAGGGGGTATAGGAAAATATAGGGATCAAGGGGTTTGGGGGAAATATTGGGGCATCACAGGTGTGCTCAATAAAATTGGGAAGTGGTGTTGAGGTGTTGATCAGGGTTCAGGGGTACACCTAGATTGATAGATGAAGTTTGTGGGATGCTGAGGTATGCAGATAGGCGGAGGGTGGAGAGGAAGTCACAGGCATGGTTGGAAGGGGGTGTCTGACCTGTCCCCCTCCTGCCCCCTCAGACCACCTTGGAGTGTACCCTGAGGCCAGGCTTGGTTTACAACAAAGTGAACCCCATCTTCCATCACTGGAGCCTGGGTGACTGCAAGTTTGGACTGACGTTCCAGAGTCCCGCAGAGGCTGATGAGTTCCAGAAGAGCCTGCTGGCCGCGCTGGCCGCGCTGGGTCGAGGTGAGTGGCACAGGTGGTGGGCACTGGAGGATGGGGTGGGAGGACTGGGAGAAGATGGGGCCCAGGGAATTCACTGTCTGCCTCTCTCCCTGCCCCAGGCTCGCTTACCCCCTCTTCCTCCTCCTCTTCCTCCTCCCCTTCCCAGGACACCGCAGAGACTCCCTGCCCTCTGACGGTGAGTCTCCAGGATGCAGCTCTGCTGGGAGGGCAGGGGTTTATTTCTATCCTCCAAACATTCTTGAGCATCTCTTGTGTATCAGGCAGCATGCCACATGCTGGGGACACAAATTTGGGCCCAAACTATTAGTGTCAACTTCATGCCTGTTATCCTAGTTTTCTATTCTATTGTGAGTCACATATTCATTCGAGAGTATTTATTGAGCACCTGCAAATAAGTAGTGTTTTAGGCACTGGGGATACATCTGTGAACAAAACAAAGTCCCTTTCCTCATGGAGCTTCTATTCTAGCGTGGAAAGGCAGAAAATTAAAAAAAAAAAAAAAGGATAAGCCATATCTTTTATAGTGAACAAATTAATGACAAATCCCATCCTTCTAGTTACTCAGGGTACCAACCTTGAAGTCATCCTTGACTTTTGTCCTTTTTTATGCTCCTCATCTAATCTGTCATCAAATATTGGCTTCACCTTCAAAATGATTAGCATCTGCCTCCAACCTGGTGCTGTCCAACCTCATCTGCCAACCGGAACATCTCACCAACTTCTTATTGTCAACTGCCCACCTCCTATTCCCTACTGTCTGGAAGTTCCCCACACACAGCCAGAGGGACCCTATTGGCATCTAAGATTGTGGCCATCCTTCCACTCAGAACCCTTCCAGGGGTCCATCTCACTCAGGGTAAAGGAGAAAGCATGTAAGATTCCATACCATTTGGCCCCCTCTTCTCCCTTTTGCTCACTCTGCTCCAGCCACACTAGCCTCCTCACTGTTACTCCAACATGGCAGGCACATTCCTGTCTCAGGGCCTTTGCACTAGCTGTCCCTTCTGTCTTGGAATACTCTTCTCCAAATTTCCACGTGGCTCATCCCCCTACTTCCTTCAGGGTTTTATACACATTTTGCTTTCATTGTGAGGCCCTTCCTGAGTAAGCTGTTCAAAACTGTGATGTCCTGATGCTCCCTATCCTGTTCTAATTTTTTCCCATCTTCTAAGATATTTTCCTTATTTCCTTCCTATATAGACAGTTTTCTTTTTCTTTTTTTTTTTTTTTTAAGACTTTATTTGAGAGAGAGATAGCAAGACAGAGCATGAGCGCGGGGCGGGGGTGGGCAGGTGGGGAGAGGGAGAAGCAGGCTCTTCGTAGAGCAGGGAGCCTGACTTGGGGCTCAATCCCAGGACCCCAGGACCATGACCTGAGCTGAAGGCAGCCGCTTAACTGACTGAGCCACCCAGGCGCCCCAGTGTAGACAGCTTTCTTATCTGTTAGTTTATTGCCTGTCTCCTGTGCTAGAATGCTAGCTCCAGGAGGGCAAAGGATCTTTTGTTGCTTTCTTGCTGCATCTCCGAGACCTAAAACAGTGCCTGGTATACAGTAAGTGTTCAGTAAATATGTGTTGAATACATTTATTGAATGAATAAATGCACATGATGTCAGATGTGATTTGGCATTTGCTGGGAACAGTGGGAGTTGCTGAGACTTCGAAGAACAAAACTGGTTCCCTGGGCAGAAAAGTGGGAATTGCAGGGTCGTGGGGGAGGTGGGTGGGGCTACAGAAATCGCGCAGACAGGTCCCACGTATTTGGTGCTTCTTCAAGGAAGATGCCGACTTCCCATGCTCCATCTACGTTCTTGCAATGGCCTTGCGTGAGCCTGGCACGCTGTGGGTGCTCAATGAATGTTTCCTGAAGATAGCAAATGGATGAAGTCAGAATGACCCCCCAGGTTACAGAAAAGAAACTGACGGTCTGAGAAGTGACTTTTCAGTTTGTAAAGGACAGGTGGTTTGGAAGGAACACCTTCCCGGTGGGTGGAGCTGCCCCAGTCAAAGTGTGGAGGTGGGAATGAGTCAGGAAGGTGGCTGACTGGCCAAGGGAGAAGGGTTCTGAGAAGGGAGAAAGATATTTGGATGTTTCGTAGGTCAGAGAGCTGAGCGGTGAAAGAAGAGGGGGTCCAGTAATAAAAACAGTAACCATTTCTAGCTCTTCCTGTAACTTCAGGCATGTGTTATATACCCTTTACAGTGGGTCCTAACCACATCCTTATGAATAGACACTATTATGATCCCCATTTTACAGAGAAGGAAACTGAGGCTCAAAGAGATGAGCTCACTTGCCGGAGGTCACACGACCAGTCAGTGGCAGAGCCGGGGCTAGCACCCAGGCCTGTCTGGCTGCAGAGCCCTCGCTCGCCATGGGAGGGGGTCTATGTGAGGGCATCCGCTGTGCCAGGGATCCGGCTCTGAGGCCGCCACTCTCCCCCAGTCCCATGTGGACAGCGAGTCCTCCTCCAGTCACAGCCGCCAGGAGACGCCTCCCACTGCCCCGGCGGCCACTATCATTACCGTGGAGTCAGCTTCTGGCTTCGGGCCGGCTTCGTCACCCCAGCACCACCGCTCCTCTGCTCAGGTGCGACCTCCCACCTCCCGCGGAAGTCTGGGGCTGGTGGTGGGGGAGAAGTGGGGCAGGGTGCCGGGGTTCAGAAGGAGGTGGGAGCTGAGACCCCAGAAGGGCAAGAGACCGCAAACAGATTCTAGGGGATGGTTGGCTTGAATTCGTGGCAGTGATGGTGGGGAGGGTGTTTGGGGACTGAGGTTCCCCGGAGGGTTGGTGAGGGCTTTCCCCGTGTCTTGGAGATTTTGGAAAGTTCTGAGTTCTGAATTCAGAGGGGCGTGGGGGACGACTTGGACAATGCTTCGAATATATTAGGGAGTTTTTCGTACGTGTGGAAGGAATTCTTTAGACTGCTTAATTCATTGGGAGGGGAATGGGCTCCCAAGGGGGTTAACGCTCCTTGGGGACTGGATTCCTGCGTCCTGAAGGACATGGCTGGGGTCCCAAGCTCCCGGACCTGGGAGTAGAGGGGACCGGGTGCTGGGACTTCCTGGATCCTGAGAGAGGACAGGGCTGAGGGTCTGGATCACTGGGGCTTTAAGGTGTGGGCTTGGTGCCTGGATTCTTTGGCCTGTTCTTGGATTTGAGAGGATTGGCCTGGGGCCTTGGAAGTCTGAGTGCCGAAGCCAGGCACTCAGGATCCCAGGCCAGCTTCCTAGGATGAAGGAGGCCTGAAGGCTGGGTCTTTGGATTCCCGTTCTGAGACTGGGATGGGTTGTGGTGGAGCGTGGGGGATCACAGACCCTGCTAACCTGTCCCTTCGTTCCACAGAGCTACCCTCCGCTCCTACCATTCACGGGGATTCCGGAGCCCTCAGAGCCCCTGGCCGGGGCAGGGGGCCCGGGCTGGGGCGGCCGTGGCTATGAGGATTACCGGCGCGCCGGGCCGCCCGCGCCCCTCGCCCTGTCCACCTGCGTCGTGCGCTTCGCCAAGACCGGCGCGTTGAGGGGCGCAGCCCTGGGGCCCCCCGCCGCACTACCCGTCCCTCTCTCCGAGGCTGCGCCCCCAGCGCCCCCCGCTCGCCCACCCCCGGGCCCCGGCCCTGCCCCTGCGCCCGCCAAAGCTTCCCCCGAGGCGGAGGAGGCGGCGCGCTGCGTGCACTGCCGGGCGCTCTTCCGCCGCCGCGCGGACGGGCGCGGTGGTCGCTGCGCGGAAGCCCCGGACCCGGGTCGCCTGCTGGTGCGTCGGCTCAGTTGCCTGTGGTGCGCCGAGAGCTTGCTCTACCACTGCCTGTCGGACGCCGAGGGCGACTTCTCGGACCCGTGCGCCTGCGAGCCGGGCCACCCGCGCCCCGCGGCGCGCTGGGCCGCGCTGGCCGCGCTCTCCCTGGCGGTGCCCTGCCTCTGCTGCTACGCGCCCCTGCGCGCGTGCCACTGGGTCGCGGCGCGATGCGGCTGCGCCGGCTGCGGGGGTCGCCACGAGGAGGCGGCGCGGTGAGGACGGCCTGGTGGGTCCGGTAGCTGCACCGAGGACCCCAAACTGAGGGTCCAGGACCCTGGACTCCGTTCGGACCCCCACACCCAAACCTAGGCACACCCGGAACTTGGAGCTTGAGTTTGGATTGAGAGACCCCAGACCTGGAACCTGGACCCCAAATCTAGGACTGAGAGACCCCAGACCCAGCTTCATTGGGATGTCTGTCCAAGAGGTCCCAGGCATCCTGAGTTCTGGTGTCCCCATCCCGCCACCAACCCCCCTCCCTGACCTAGACTGAGGAGACTCCAGGCATCCCCAAACTCTTCACCTCAGGCAGGCTGGGGAGCACATGTATCCCTGAGAGACGCAGGGTCCGAACCCTGACTCCCTGTTCAAATAACCAACCCAGACCCCATCATGCCTGACACCGTGAGCCCTCAGATTACAGTGAGTCAGGAGTTGCCAATACCTGACCCTGCCTGCATATAATTACTCCCAGATTTTGAGACCATAGAACCCAGATTCACCCCAAATGGTCCTTGAATGCTCACCTAAAACTTGGGGCACCCATATCTGAGATATTCTTGTAGCCCCCAGGACCCTGGAGGCACCAAACCCTCTTAAGATGCCCCGAGTCCATAGGTATGCCCAAACAGATGTTCTCTGACCAAAATGACTTGCGAGACCCATCTCCGAGCCTCCCCCTATCCTCCCCACCAAGATCTAGATGTCAGACTCCAGGATGCTCTGGGAACCAAGGATCAAAGACCTCTGTAGACCCACTCACCCCAAGCCAGTGTTCCCAGAGCTTTGGATCTCATATATAGGACTCTGAGGTGCCTAGTACTCCGGATGTGGTACTGAAGACCACCCACACCTTAGGGCCCAAGGCACTGGTCTCAAGTCCTCAGATAATCCTCTTTCAAAATCCCTTAGACTTGGATTTCAAGCCCCAGAATGGCCTGGAATCTTTGGCTGCTTTGTACCCACAGATCCCCAATCCCCTCAAGGCTGGAAGCTCAGCTTCCAGATGATGGGATGTTCATGGCAACCCAGACCTCTCACCCCTTGGCCCCCAGCTCCTGAATGACCCTGAGGTGCTTTGGGAGCACTGGTTCCAAGATCCCAAGGTGCCATTGGTCCCCCAAATTCAGGGCTTAAGCCTACACAACATTGGGATTGTCCCTGACTCAAGACCTTGGTCCCTTCATACCAGAGACAACTGAGGTGCTCCAGGACCAAAGCACCTTCAGATCCCAGATTTCTTTGGACCCAGACCTCTTAAGCCTGATATTCCCTGAGACCTGCTGCCCTTGAATTCTGCTGTCCATAAGCCCCTGAAACCCCAAGGTCCCAGACCTCTGATTTCAAGCCCCAAGGACCCCAGCCCAAGCCCCCAGCATCTCACAGAACTACTCCTTTACTAGGGTAAAAAACAACCAAAAAACCCATCATCTTGAGCTCATGTTCCTGGATTCCAGGAGCACCCCAGAGCTCCCCACACCCATCTCTAGGACCTAGCATTGTCATAGATGATTGTGCAGGCTGTTCACTAAGCAAAGACACAACTCAAGGTGAGGGTGTGGCTCGAATTCACACCACACTCGGCTGGCTGCACTGTGCACAGAGTCACTTTTTAGGCTAGCTATGGCTCTACACACACACACACACACGCGCGCACACACACGCACACACACACACTCCCCTTGTGCTCTGTCCCAAGCCCAACCTGAAGCCCCAGCCCTAGTCCAAGTTTTTTATGTTTTGCCCTGTTAACTCCTTCCCCTCCATCTCAGAGTTGGGGGTTGCTTTGTAAAATTTGGAAGCCGTTTTCATGGCCCTCTGTGATGCCACAGTCTCTTTTCCCTGAGTGGAATGGGACTTTTGGGGTACCTCAGGTCTGATGGCCTGAAGCAGAGGATTACGGTCTTGGATCAAGACAATCTCAATGCTGTATGGGTTTGGGACCCGCATGTGGTCCCAAGCATCTGGAAATGTGCACTTACCTTTCTTCATTACCCAGACTTGGATGGCCTTGTAGGGGTTCAAGGGATAGGTCAAGGGGGTCAGAGGGCTAGATCCTCTGTCACTTCCTTTAAATTATTAACTATTACATCCGGAACCTGTGAGATTCCGCTCTCCCAACCAGACCCTGGGATGGGTGAGAGAAAAGGGGGATGTCCCTCCCATCCCCACTCTGCCCAGCTCTTGTCACTGTCAGACCCACCAGAGCTGAGGGCGGAGGGACCGGGGGCTGGGGTGGCCTGGGTCCCCATCCCCCTCTCTGTGCCTCGGTCTCCTCCCTTCCGTGGTGGGCGGGGGGAAGCTCCATTCTTAACCTACCTCGTTTTGGGGAGGGGTGGGACGGGGACCAGAGTGCTGTAAGGTGCTGTGGGATCTGCGGATGAAGCGGTGGGAGCTGGGGAAGGTTCCCCCGGCCCCCACCTCCCAGCACCGCCTCTCCCAGGTCTCCCAGTCCTGCTCCCTGCTGATACCCACCTCTGATCCATGATTACTCTTCATCACCCCCAAATCAGGGGTGCATGGAGGGCTGACCCTGGGAGCCAGGAAGACCTCAGACCCTGGAGCCCCCAGGCCCAATTTCCCAGCTGCTTGCCCCTCAGATTGGATGCTTGGCCCCCAGACTTGGGGGAGGCACCCCGACATTTATCTTCCTGATCTTGATTCCAAGCCAGTCTGTGACCTCAATATTGTTATCGTCAGTGCAGGCTGCTGTGGCGGGGGAGGATGGGGGCCAAAGACCCAGCCTTGTCATTGGGGGAGGGGGCATGAGATATTCGCTCCAAGAAATGTCTGTGACAAAGTCTCAGCCTGTGTCCTTTATTTGCATTGATGCACCCCATCCAGTCACCTTCCTGAACCACCAAACCAGTCTCCTACCCAATTTGTCCTTTCTCCTTCACATCCTTTAGTCCCAAGCAGACCCTCCAGCTGAGTTTTATATATTCAGTCACTCAAGTACACTTACTAAACCCCCATCATATGCCAGGCCCTGTTCTTGGCACCGAGGGTAAAGTAGCGAACAGAACAGACAAAATCCTTTCCCACGAGCAGCTTATGAACTTTACAACGAAGGAGACAATAAATGACATGTTAGAAATGATATGCCCTATAGAGAAAAGTAAAGTGGAGATGGGGGATACAGTCATTTTTAGCCAGGGTCATCAGGGAGGCCTCACTGAGGAGCCGGCATTTGAATAAAGCCTTGAGGGAGGTGAGAGAGCCCTGTGGATGTCTGCAGGAAGAACATTCTAGGTAAAGGGGAACTGTCCATGCGAGGCCCTGAGGGAAGAGCATGTCTAGGTAAGTTTGAGGGACATCAAGGGAGTGAGTGTCTGGAGGGGAGGAAGCAGGGAGGAAGGTATTTAGGGGATGAGGGCAAAGAGATGACAAGGCAGATCTGTGGGTCCTTGAGAGCCATTGCATGGATTTTGCTGGTTACCCTGAGTGAGCTAGAGATACGGGAAGGTTCCAAGCGTGGGAGGGCTGTGACCTGACTCAGGTATTTACACATTACCTCTGGCTGCCTGTAGGGAACAGACACTGGGGGTGGGTGGCTGGGTAGGTCGCAGGGAGGAGGCTGCTGTGATGGTCCAGGGGGAGACAAGAGTACAGGAGATCAGGGTGAGAACAGTGGAGGCAGGGAGAAGTGAGCAAGATAATGGATCTACTTTGAAGGTAGAATCCACAGATTTTTTTTTTTTAAGATTTTATTTATTTGACAGAGAGAGAGACAGCTAGAGAGGGAACACAAGCAGGGGGAGTGGGAGAGGGAGAAGCAGGCTTCCCGCTGAGCAGGGAGCCTGATCCCAGGACCCTGAGATCATGACCTGAGCCGAAGACAGACGCTTAACGACTGAGCCACCCAGGCACCCCTAGAATCCACAAATTTAGATAAAGAGTTTACAAAGAAGAAAGAAATCAGGCTGGGATTCCAAGGTTTTGACTTGAGCAATTTTAATGTTTTATTAAGGTCAACAAATGGTCCCGAGTACCCAGCCTTGGGGAGGCAGCACTATGGAGGATTATTTTAACAACAGCAACCAAAACAGTAGCAGTACTAACAGCGGTAATAGGTTAAGTAATTAAAAGCATGGACTTTGGAATCAGATGTGAATTTGAGTCCTGGCACCACCACACATTCACTCTGACTTATCCTGTCTGAACCTCCGTTTCTCCTCCCTAAAACGGATCTAAGATACTTAGCCTAGTAGCACACACAAAATGCTCAATATATGTTATTAACTGAGTACCCCTATATGTCTACTAAACACTTACATATAGGACTCTCAACCTCACAGCTCTTAAAAAGTACGTTTTATCCCCATTATACAGATACGAAGCAATCTGGCAGGGACACAGAGGTGGTGAGTGGTGGAGTCAAGCCCTAACCCTTGTTTGCCTAACTCCCACGGTGCAATCTCTTCTTAATCACGACAGTGTATTGCACCTGCTCCCTCTCCAAGGCCTAGGGGGAAAGAGGGGTGAAGGCCCAACTGGTGCATTGCGATCGATCGATGGGGAAGACGGGTGTGTGTAAGGGGGCGAGCCGGGCTTCCTGAGGCCCTGACGTAATTCCAACCCTATGTTGGAAAGGAGGAAATAAGTTTCTGCATTTGGAGCGGAGCTGGGAGAACAACACTTGTCTAGGGTGCTTCAAGAGTAGAGGGCATCCGAGGGAGGCTGAGAAAAAGAAAACCCAGTTTCCAAGTCGCAACAGTAGCGACACCCGCTGGCCTGTCGCGACAGCCGGGATCCTGAATGCACGCGCCGGATTTACAGAGCCGGGGGTTTTCCCGGGTCCGGACGGGGTTACCCGAACCGCGGCGCTCTAGCTCTCCGCGCCGGAGGACCTGGGGGCGGGTTCTGCTGCCTCCTGCACCAATCGGGAAGCCGAAGGCCCTTAGGGGCTGATTGGTCGCAGCCGCCGCAGGGCGGGGACCGCGCACGCCGCTCCTGGGGCGGGGCCTCCCGCCGGCCGGCAGGGGGCGCGCGCCTGGAAAAGAGACGACGCTTTCATGGAGGGGGCCGCTGTGGCCCGGGACCTGCTGGCCTTGGGGTAAGGGGAAGGGGGTGTGGCTGGGGGAGGGGGTGGGGGTGCCGGAAGAGAGAGGTTTGCCCTCAGAAATTGCTATTGGCCTTCCCAACCCCCTCCCGCTGCCTCGGCCCCGCCACAGGTATGAGGGCTTCTCGGGGGCGCCGTCACTGGGCACCTCGTGTCCAGACTTCAGGGCGCTGTGCGCGCGGCTGGCGGCGGAGCTGGCGACTTTGGGCGCCCTGGAGCGGGAGCGAGGGGAGAGCGCGGAGGCGCTGAGAGCCGACGACGGTACGTGTGGGGCGGGCGGCCCGGAGGGGTGGGGCCGCGGGGGTCGCCGCCGCGCCCTGACTTCTCCGGCCTCCTGCAGGCCCCGGCGCCGAGGAGGAATTCCTGCGACAGTTGGCCGGCCTGCTGCAGGAGTTGCACTGCCCGGACCGCGCGCTCTGCGGCCGCGATGGCGCGGCGGCGCTGCGGGAGCCCGGCGCGTGCCTGCGCCTGCTGCGTGAGCCCGGGATGCGGAAGTGGGCGAGGCTACGGCCTCCAGAGGGGCGGGCTCAGCATATTCAAGTGGAGCCAGGGTTCGCCCCCCGGGGGGCGTGGTCAGAATTGAGGCGCGCGAGAGGGTTCGAGGTGGGTGGGGTTCGAATTTTGACGGAGTGTCTTGAAGTGCAAGTGGGTTGGATGTGATGTAGCCGGCCAGGTGGTCCCGATTAGGCGGGGTTCGAAGTCCGAGCAGGGGACTGGGTCTCGAAGTGGGTGGAGCTTATTCTGGAGGTAGAGCCAGGGTTCTAGGTGGGCGGAACTAGAAGGCCGGAGTATTGGAAGCCTGGAGGTTTTGAAGCACATGGGGCTTTTTGACCCCGGTGGGTGGGGTGGTAGCCCTCCTTGGTTGCAACGCTCCCTTTCCCTTTTAGGCTTTCTCTGCTCGGAGCTCCAGGCTGCCCGCCTTCTCCGTTTGTACCACCGGCTGCATCCCAGCCCCGCCCCGCCCTGTGGAGAAGGGGCAGAGGGGGTAGCTGGCATGGTCCAGGAACTGGTCCTTACCCTCCAAGCTCTGGGGCTGCCCAGACCGACGCCTGGCACCGCCGCCAGCCGGCTGCTGTGGGAGTTGCATGACAAGGTAGAGAGCTGGCGTCCTTTCAGCACCGGGGCCACCCCACTTTCCTTGTAGGGGGAGAGTCCTTTCTCCAAAAGCGGTCTGGCCCGAGTGCCCGGGGATGTTTTCCTAGAGCTGTGGCCACCATTCTTGATTCCGAGGCCTGGGTCCCCTGGGCCATGGGGGAACTGGAATCCACGGAGAGTACATCTGGTTTCTGCCCGGTCAACCTCAGACTCCCTTCTCCCATCAGATCGCTGAGCTGCTGCCTTCCCTGCCCCCAGGGTTCCTGCAGCCCCTCCTCACCCTCCCGCTGGACGCACCCAGATGGGTAAGACTATGTATGGCTGTATGAGAACAGCATCCTCCCCAGAGATGGGAGTGAGGGGAACCCCTGGCATGACTGAGACCTTTTCCCCAGGAGGCATTGGACTCTCTGTGCCAAAGGCTGGGAGATCAGTATTGCTGCTGCCGCTGCCTGCTCCTGAAACGCCTGGACCTCACAACATCTTCTTTCTACTGGAGTGATCGGGCAGAGGTGTGGGAAAAGGACTTGGGCAGGAGCAGGGAGGCCCAGTTGTGGGGGCTACCACTACAGGAAGGAACAACAAGGGCAAGGAATATGACCTTATAGCAGGTTCTTGGAATCTTGTAAGGCTTGGGGCTCTAGAATTTCAGGGCCTCGAGGGCATTCTAGAATCTAGAGGTCCAGAGCATTCTAGAATTCCTAGCTCTGAGCTGGGAGTATCTCCAGAGCTGTAGCTCTTATTTAGAGATGCGGGACGTGAGGCCCTCAGTGGAGAGAGAGATGCTTCCAAGAGGACAGATCCCACCTGGAGGGCTCTTGGCCACCTTCTCCATGCCCCTCTCCCCAGGCCCAAGGAGAAGCCATGAAGGCAGTGCTGATCCCACTTCGAGAGGCTCTGACCCCAGAATCAGATGTCTCTGTTGCACACGTCCTGGCTGCCCGAGCAGACCTGTCTCATCTTGTCCCAGCCACCAGCAAGGCTGCCCGCCGAGGGACCTGCTGTGCCATCAACAAGGTGGGCGCCTGGGAGTGGGGAAGGGCCCCTACATCCTTGGCCTTCAAACTTGGCTCTCTGGTCCCCTTGTTCATTTCTCTTCCCTGACGCGCAAGTCTGATCAACTCTCAGGTGCTTATGGGCAACGTGCCAGACCGGGGGGGCCGTCCAAATGAGCTGGAGGCTCCCATGCCCAGCTGGCAGAGCAGAAGAGAGGATGGAGGTGGGCAGAAGGCAGGCCGCCAGAACTGGGGTCGCAAGAAGAAGAAGAAGTAAAGGGGGACTGGTGGTTCGGGGGGGGGTCCTCTGTGACATGCCAATGCCATTGGTAATTGGTGGGGAGTCACTTTGAGCTTCTCTTGGTATCTGGCTCCCAGGCCCCACATCCCCTGCTCCTAAGGTCCCAAATGTCCTCCCCCTATCCACCACTCAACAACAAGGACCATGTTCTCTGGAAAATAAATTTAATTTATAACAGCTATAGGACCTATCTCTGGGGGGTCAGGGGTGCTCAGGTTTGCGGAGGGGTAAGGGTGTCTTTGTCCCCTGGGTCTCAACAGACCCCTGTTGCTCTGACCCTCATAGTCCTCTGCTCTTTAGCAACACATCTTTCCCTTCCTGTGGGCACAGGGAAGAAGACATGTAGGCATTGGACAAAGAGTTCTCAGGTACCCACCATGTGCTAGCCCTGTTCTTGGCACTAGGGATACAGCAGTGAAAAAACATAGGTCATAAAACCCCTGCTCTTCTGGAGTTGACAATTTCTGGTGAAGAGGAGCAGACATTCAACAAGATAAATAGGTAAAAAGTATAGTTTGTTCGATGGGTAAATGACTTTGGAGAAAAACAAGGTAGGAGCAGGACTGGGGGGTGGATTGCAACTTTGAGTATGGTCAGAGGGGCCTCCCTGAGAAGGCGACATTAGACCTAAGTCCCAAAGAGGGAGCCATGTGGGCCTCTGGAAGAGCATTCTGGGCAGAGGGAACTGCCAGTGCAAAGGCCCTGAGGTAGGAGTATTTTTGGCATGTTCAGGGACCATAGAGGCCAGTGTAGCTGAAGCAGGATGAGTAAGGGGGTGAGTGGTGGTAGGTGAGGTCAGAGAGGTGATGGAAACAGATTGTGGGAGGTGGGCCGCAGTGAGGACTCTGGCTTTTCCCCTGGGTGAGAGGGAGGCATGGAAGGGCTCTGAGCAGGGGAGAGACTCAGGTGTTCACAGGCTCCCTGTTCCACCCCTACTCTAGCCTTCTGTCCTGTCTCTGGAACCCCAGAGTTAGGAATATAAGTGCCCAGCCTATCCCCTCCCCGGCCTGTCCCGTGCTGTCAGTGTAGCGTACCGGTAAGGAGCTTCCATTTTAGAGGCAGACAGAAGGCCTTGGACTTGAGTCCTGCCTCCAACACTTAGGGGCTCTGCCACCTTGGAGAGCAGCTTAACCTCCCTGGGCCTCAGCTTCCTTGTCTGTAAAATGGAGATGTAAGGAGTTGGTGGGATGATACTTAAGTCTAGGCGTATCCAACACGAAACCGCACAGATACGAAGTTCGGGGAAATGGGAGTACAGGTTGTGGCCACTCTGAGGCAAAGGAAGAAAATAACTTTCCGAGTAAGAGATGATGAACTCTTCACTGAAGGCGGTGTGGATGGGAAGGCAGAGGTGCCTTTGGGGGTCCTGCTGGAGGCCGAATAACAGGACTTGGGACTGACTCTGGGGGAGGTGAGAGACAACAGACCAAGCGGGGTCTAAGAATTCAGCTTGGAGGACTGGGCGGGCGGTGAGGCCGTCTTTGGGAGGGGCACCTGGAAGGAGGAAGACACTGGGTCACGTGGGGAGGATGTGGTGTCTAGGAGTCCGGGCACTGCCCCACCCAGACTATGTTCAGTAGATGAATGAAAATTCCTCTGGACGTTCTGGTTTTTTAATTCAATCCAAAGGTCTCTACCTTTGAACAGTAAAATTTACTCCACTGACACCAATTATAGCTCCTGATGTATTTGGCCTTGTCCTTGCCATTTTCTTCTTTTTCCTTTTTTCTCCTTAAAATCCTTTTTCTGTTCTACTATTGGCTACCCCCCTTCCCACTCCAATGTATTGAAAATTTTATTTTTCTATCAATGTTACAAATTAACCAGGGTCTGTACCCTCCTGTCCACACAATTGAGGACTCTTGCACCTTTTTACTTTCCTATGCTTCCCCAAATCTGCCTGGGTTCCCCCAAGCAAATGGCCTGGTCTCCCCTGTATCCAGTTGATGGTGGGGGGCAGTTCTCCTTACCGTCTCTGGTTCCCAGGAAGGGTGTGGGGGCTCTGTCTGGGTCCAAGCATGGCAAAGGTGGTACCCTGTCTCAGGTTCCAGGGATAGTGTGTAGGAGAGATTGTCTTCCAAGCCTGTTTGTGGGGTGATAGATGAGAGGGGTGTGGGTATGATGGGAAGGGCCTCATGACCTTGGACTTAAATACCCAACCATCAGGCCCCCTTCCCAGGACTGCCACACCCTGGGTCTTACCACAGCTGGCGTGGGGAACCGGTGTGGGTGGGACGGGGGCTCCAGGGGGGCTCATGTCGCCCTTGGCCCCTGGCCTCTTCTTACACTCCACCTTCACACGGTCCCTACAGTGTTTGTGGCAACACAGCCCACAATCTGGGGGAAGGTCAGCAGTTAGTGGTCAGAGGCCCAGCCTGCGCACCCCTTCATCCAGCCTGTACGTGCTGGACTCCCTCCCCACCACTGAGGCCTCACTCACCCCGACAGCGGTAGCCTTGCTTGGTGACGCCCCAGAGCTGGGAAGAGAAAGCAGAATTGGTGACGTAGGCTAGGAGAGAGAGGGCTGTGGATGAGGCTGGGGTTGGTCTCCAGGAGTGTAGAAACCATCTGGTTTGGGAAATTTTCAAGGCTGGAGGCTTAAGTGGGGACTAAAGGAACTTGGGGTTATTGTAAGTTTGGGGAGTCATCTAGGATATTAGATAAAATCTGGAATTAATGAACTATAAATTCTGTGGGCAGGGATAGTCTCTGTTGTGTCTTCTGCTGTGCGCGCCTCTCCCCAGCCCTCAAGTCTAGAGCAACCTGGCATTGGAGGTATTCTGTGAATAGGACGTGAGTGAAAAAGTGGGTTTGGGAAGTGGTCCAAGGTTCGTGAATTAGTCTTGGTTTGGAGATTGAGAGATCTGTCCGTTATCCAGAGTTTGAGGATGCCTTGAATTTGAAAATTATCCAGGGTTTGAATGATCTGGAGTCTAAAGACTTGGAAATGGATTCTGTTTAGAGATAATCCACCCAGGTTTGTAGATTAGGGTTTTAGGTATCCATAGTTTGGCAGTGATCCAGGATGGAGATCATCTGGGATTTGGGTACTATCTAGATTTGGGGTATATCCAGTGTTTAGGGTTTATATGGGATGTGGGGATTATTTGAGACTAGGGGATTTTCTGGAATTTGGTGATCATCTGGGGCTTGGGGACTGGGAGCCCTCCAGGGCAGGGCTGGCCTTCTCAACCCAGGCTGTGAGGAGTCAGGACCCGGGACTCTCCAGGGGAGATGGGCCCTGACAGAGGGGCAGGGTGCTCACAAAACCACTGCAGCTATCACAGAAGGTGGGCTTGCGGAAGGTGACCTCCTGGAAGTTGTGCAGGAAGGCCAGGCCCAGCTTGGAGCAGATGGCACTGGCCCGGAGCAGGTAGCCTGTCAGCTCTTCTCGGCTGTAGGAGCCATTCCTAGGGGCAGAGATTTCACCTTAGTGGGAATGGCCCCTTTCTCCCAGGAGTCCCGGCAGCCCCAGCATCCTCCCATCCTCATCTTTGGGGGACCTAGAAGTCAGGAGTACTTACCCCTGGCGGGGGGGTGGGTGAAGCCCATGGCAGGCGAAGGGGAAGTTGCCTGAGAGTCGCTCAAAGTCCTCCTGAGAGATGGTTCCTTGGCCTTCAGGGTCATAATTCTTGAACACAGACTTCAGAGGAGTATGGGAAGGAGACAGTAAGGCCAAACCATGATCGTCAAGGTCTTAGATCTCCTCTGGGTCAGGACTGTACCGGTGGCCAGGCCATGGTCCCCTCCTTACCTCCACCAGCTGCTCCACGTGCCGACCCAGGGTGGCCCTGTCGGGCTTGGGTGTCACGCCAGGAGCCCACTCCACCACCAGGGGCGCTTTGAAGGGGGAGGGTGGCTGGGGCAGGGACAGAGGGGCGCAGTTAGTACATGGGCTTGGGCTGGTGGGCAGGGGTCAGGGGTCAGTTCTCACCAGACTCTTGGGACAGCGGGGCTCGCGGGCGTAAGAAAGCTCATAGATCTCATCCTCCGTGTAGAAGAGATCCAGGGAAAGCTGGGGGATGGGGGGGGAGGGCGTTACAGATTCTCATCTCCATCCTCCTACCTATAGCCTGCACCCTGCCTGGATCCCCACTTTCATCCTCTTCCCAAAGCCCTTCTTCTCTGGGAACTCCTAGGCTCCTCTCTCCCACCGAGCCACCATTCCGTCTCAACACCCCCGTTCCCTAGTCCAGAAATGCCATCTTCTCACTGAGGCTTTTTTTGGGTCCTATTTAAAATTGTAAACCCCTATTACTTTCTTTGCTGGTTTCTACTTTAGTTTTCACTATTAGCACTTATCCTCCGAAAGACCATATGATTTATTCATTTACTTTGTTTTATTGGCTGTCTCCCCTACTGGGAAGTCAGCCCCACAAGAACAGCAGTTTTTTTTTTCCTGACGTGCTGACTGCTGTGAGCCTAAGTGCCTAAAGTAGTGTCTGGCTCACAGCGGGTGCTCGATAAATATTTGGGCTCGATGGCCTTCTAGAATCAGCAAAGCACAGAGCCTTGGGCACCAATCATCTTAGGGCAAGGCCAGCTTCACAGGCAGGCCCCACACTTGGAAGGGACCCACTTCATTTAATGCCCTGCTGTCACCGTCTTGAAATTATGAAGAATTTTGAACAAGGAGCCCCACATTTTCATTTTGCACGGGGCACTGCGAATTATGTAGCTGGTCCTGTCTTGGGGTCCGAAAATCAGTCTTAGACTCCATG